CATTCACCGCATGCACAACAGCGCATATTTTGCACACCGGGGAACTGCAATACATATATATAAAATATTACGGAGACACAATATCAAAAACAAAGGCGGTTAAAGTAACAGAGAATAGCAAGTGACAGACCACAACAAATCAGTGAACCCAAACGACAAGACTTGAGTATGAAGTGAGCATGTCACCGCGACTAGATAGAAACCATCGAAGCACTGGCAGCAAGAAAAAACAACGACGCAATCAAAATAAAAAACAAACCATACGCAGGACAAAAGCAGACCACATCAACCACTGGAAAGAACATATATTGGCAAGAAGCACACTGTTGTTGGCCCAAATCAACAATGTGCAGCCTGTGCCGTGCAAACAATGCAATCAATGCAGATCTGATTCCTATCCAAACAAACCTTGAACACTAGGTTGTGAAAGCCCCAAGTCAGTTTCAAGTGTCTCTCATTTCATACGTAATGTATTTTTCCGCACAGCAATCTGGTATAACTGTTTTTTCTGTTCATAAACTGACGGCATTTGCCTTCATACTAGTACTCTGGATTTGGAAAATCGAACCGCGAAATTGAGCCTTAGACTGCCTGGATTTGGGGGATCGATCCTTGAAAACGGGCATCGATCAAACCATGGATTTGGGGGATCGATCCTTGAAATCAGGCGTGGGGCCATGGATTTCGGGGATCGATCCTTGAAATTTACCCTTACCCTGGATTTGGGGGAATGATCCTTGAAATCAGGCTTGGGGCCATGGATTTCGGGGATCGATCCTTGAAATTTTCCCTTACCCTGGATTTGGGGGATCGATCCCTGAAATTCCTTGAAATCAGGCTTGGGGCCGTGGATTTGGTGGATCGATCCTTGAAATTTACCTTTACCCTGGATTTGGGGGAACGATCCTTGAAATCAGGCTTGGGGCCATGGATTTCGGGGATCGATCCTTGAAATTTACCCTTTACCCTGGATTTGGGGGAACGATCCTTGAAATCAGGCTTGGGGCCATGGATTTCGGGGATCGATCCTTGAAATTTACCCTTACCCTGGATTTGGGGGAACGATCCTTGAAATCAGGCTTGGGGCCATGGATTTCGGGGATCCATCCTTGAAATTTACCCTTACCATGGATTTGGGGGATCGATCCTTGAAATCAGGCTTGGAACCATGGATTTCGGGGATCGATCCTTGAAATTTACCCTTACCCTGGATTTGGGGGATCGATCCCTGAAATTCCTTGAAATCAGGCTTGGGGCCATGGATTTCGGGGATCCATCCTTGAAATTTACCCTTACCATGGATTTGGGGGATCGATCCTTGAAATCAGGCTTGGAACCATGGATTTCGGGGATCGATCCTTGAAATTTACCCTTACCCTGGATTTGGGGGATCGATCCCTGAAATTCCTTGAAATCAGGCTTGGGGCCATGGATTTCGGGGATCCATCCTTGAAATTTACCCTTACCATGGATTTGGGGGATCGATCCTTGAAATCAGGCTTGGAACCATGGATTTCGGGGATCGATCCTTGAAATTTACCCTTACCCTGGATTTGGGGGATCGATCCCTGAAATTCCTTGAAATCAGGCTTGGGGCCATGGATTTGGGGGATCGATCCTTGAAATTTACTCTTACCCTGGATTTGGGGGAACGATCCTTGAAATCAGGCTTGGGGCCATGGATTTCGGGGATCGATCCTTGAAATTTACCCTTACCCTGGATGTGGGGGACCGATCCTTGAAATCAGGCTTGGGGCCATGGATTTCGGGGATCGATCCTTGAAATTTACCCTTATACCCTGGATTTGATGGAGCGATCCTTGAAATCAGGCTTGGGGCCATGGATTTCAAGGATCGATCCTTGAAATTTACCCTTACCCTGGATTTGGGGGATCGATCCTTGAAATTAGGCTTGGGGCCATGGATTTCGGGGATCGATCCTTGAAATTTACCCTTATCTTGGATTTGGGGGATCGATCCTTGAAATCAAGCTTATTCAGGCTTGGGGCCATGGATTTGGGGGATCGAGCCTTGAAATTTTCCCTGGATTTGGGGGATCGATCCTTGAAATTAGGCTTGGGGACATGGATTTCGTGGATCGATCCTTGCGTTTTACCCTTACCCTGGATTTGAGGGATCGATCCTTGAAATTAGGCTTGGGGCCATGGATTGGGGGGATTGATCCTTGAAATTTACCCTTACCCTGGATTTGGGGGATCGATCCTTGCAATTAGGCTTGGGGCCATGGATTTGGGGGATCGATCCTTGAAATTTTCCCTTACCCTGGATTTGGGGGATCGATCCTTGAAATTAGGCTTGGGGCCATGGATTTGGGGATCGATCCTTGAAATTTACCGTGGATTTGGGGGATCAATCCTTGAAATTAGGCTTGGGGCCATGGATTTGGTGGATCGATCCTTGAAATTTACCCTTACCCTGGATTTGGGGGATCGATCCTTGAAATTAGGCTTGGCAATGGATTTGAGGGATCGATCCTTGAAATTTACCCTTACCCTGGATTTGGGGGATCGATCCTTCAAAGCGAGCTTCAAACCACGGATAATTCGGCCTTAGGCCCTGGATTTGGGAGATTGGCTGCGGACTTGGGAATTCAATCCTGAAGCCAATTTGCTAGGACACAGTGAAACCAAACGTTGCAAAAAAACAATGTCGGATTTGTGTATATTTGCTTTGGGTAGAACAACCCGTTGTATTTCGTATATGTGGCGCATGTTCGCTATTTGCTACTTTGGTTCGTAAGACACTGGGGGGACATAATGTATGTTTAGGTACAAGTTATTTTCGTATTTTCTATATTTATATTCAACACAATGCTGAGTTGCTTAGCGGTCGGAAACGGAGGACAAAGAGGCGTTTTGACCGAACCAATTTGGGTCTTGATTGGTTTTTCACAAAGGCCTGAAGAGCAGAACGTTTCTTTCAATTTTTTGCCATGTTCACCGAAATTGCGGGAATTTCACCAGGCTTTCACCAGTTTTCGCAAATTCATTGGGTCTTCACCGAGTTTTCACCAGGTTTCAGAAAATCCCTGAGGTTGAGAAAATTGCCCGAATTTCACTTAAATTTGGAAATTTCACCAGATCTTTACCAATTTTCCAGATTTCATCAGGTTTCACCAGGCCTTGGATGTTTCACCAGGTTTTCACCAGGTTTCGGAATTTTCACCAGATTCTGGAGATTTCACCAAATTTTCGCCAAATTTATGTTTTCAATTTTACCGCCAAACCGATCAACATTTCACCAAAACAACATGTGAAAGCGCTTCTTTTGGTGAAATTTCAAAATGTAAACGTTTCTTCAATAAATAAATTTCACACGGTTTTCACCAGATTTCTGAATTTCACCTGGTTTGCTCACCAGCTTTGGAATGTTCACAAGGTCTTCGCCAAATTCCACGAAGATTTCATCAAATTTGAACCAGGTTTCCACTAGGTTTCACCAGGTATTCACCAAGTTCTCATGAAGTTTTCATCGGCTTTTCACCTCACCGAGTTTCCACCAAGCTTTGAATGCGAAGAAAGCAATTAATTTCTCAAGAAAGGTTTTTCCTTTCCATTTCATTGCGAAAAACCTAAGAAGTATTTTGTCGGTTCTCCAAAAAGCACGAAATGTTTTTTTTGGAACCAAATATCGGGTCGACCCCTGAACAACCTTCCCTGAACAATTTAACACAACACAAAATGAAAGGTGCAAAAATATCATGTCCCCACGCCCAAAACAAATTTAAAACTCATGGGTGACCTCTCGGTATAAATTTTATTCAAAAACAAAGCACCCCGTAAATTCCAAAATATGTTTTTAATCACATTTCGTAAATTCCAAAACATGTTTTTGATCACGTTTGAAAAAAAGAAACCTCATAATTCTGTGAATCCACCAGTTCAATTCCAAAATTCCTGCAAGATGTCCCCTTCTGTAAGCACATTCGAAACACCCTGTGAAGCGGCTGGACAGAGCCAAATTGTCACTGATTTGGGCCTCATAGGGCCTGCAAGGCCTGTTTTGTACCAAAACCTGCAAAATCCAACCCGTTCCCCGAAAATTCCAGGAACATCCCTACAGTGCGAATTGCACATCACGAAGTTACTCAGATCTTTTGCATCTCAGTGGACTACTGTTTGCAGAATGCCAATGGCGATCTCACCGCTGAGGCAAACCAGCAATGGTGGAAGGACCGCATTTGCAGCGGTGCGATTTGTGGAGTCGGAGGAGGGCCTCCGTGTGAGACATTTAGTGCTGCACGCCTTCTACCTGATGGTCCTCCTCCTTTGCGATCCCATGACCACATCACTGGATTGCCGTGGAACTCGCCCAGAGCTTGGAGCCAAACCCATCTAGGAAGCGTCCTGATGCGATTCATCTTGCAGATGATCCTTCTAGTGGCGAGGATTGGAGGATGTGCTTTTCTGGAACACCCTGCGTTCCCCGTCTGGGCTCTTCACCGGCGACCATCTTCGATTTGGTCCACCTGGGTAGTGCGCCTTTTGCGACGGCTAGCTTGCACGGAGATCCTGACCCTGGACCAGTGCATCTATGGGTGCCCGGCACGCAAACCCACGACTCTGCTGCTTGTGCGCATGGCTGGCATGGTGGAAGCGGCGCAGGCTCTTGGCAGATCAGGGCGGTGCCCGCACCCCAGTGGCTGGCATCAGGCGCTGGCTGGGCGCAACGAGCATGGCGAGTTCCACACCGCTGTGGCGAAGATCTACCCGCCTGCGCTCAATGCTGCTTTGGCACAGTCGGTAGCCAATTTTGTGCTCAGCTACGTGAGCACTGGACAACGGGTTGAGCCCTTGTCCGAAGATCTGTTGCTGTTGCAGTCCTACGACTTTGTCGAGCGCACAAAGGTGCAGCCTGATCATTACAGGTGAGCTCGTCGTACAGGTAGGACTCCAGCTTGCATGCCCCGAGCAGTGACTTCTGCAGTAACATGAAAGGAAAAAAAGGTGATTTTCTATAGCTATGTTACCAGAGGGGTATTAATCTGGGCAAATGATGATCAATTCCCAAATCAAATCCGATGGATTTCCTGATCTGGCAATGATTTGTCCCCGGGCCGCCTCGACTTTCCGCATGGCGTTCAGCACCTTCTGGGAAGCTTTGACCTTTCGTGTTCGGTCGTCATATTCGAACCTGGCGGGTGTTCGATGGGGTGTTCGATGGGGAGAGATGGGGAACCTGGGAAAGGGGAGCCACTGATTTCTGAACTGGTCGTTTTTGGGGGCCAAAAAAGCCATCCCCGCCATTTTCTTTAAACTGTGACTATCCCAAGTCATTGCCATCTTCACTGTTTCATCCTATCTGCACCATCAAACAAGGAAGTTCAGGGGTACAAGCACCGAATTTTCTGTCAGTCCCCATGTTTGTATTCCTGGGTAGTTTAGTGGTCTAACTCAAACTTTCTGCTTCAATCCGGCAGAGGTCTTAGAAAATTTGCATCAATTAGTTGACTTTTTTGCCTGTGTTTGGTAAATCCTAATCTGTTCTTGGTTTTTGGGCCAAAAAATCAAAATTATACCGTTTTTGCATGTTGTTCCATCAACTTTGGCCCGATTCACTTCTCGATGCAAAACTGCCGCAGCTTTTTACCTTGGCAAAGGAGAGAAGACCATGAGTATGCGGCTTCCAACCATTTTTGGGGGGGCATTTGCTGAGATATTGGGATGTTTTGTGGAAAAAATGGATACAAAACCAGCAATGTGTAATTTTGGAGGCTTGTCCAAACAAGCCAAACACCTACTCGATTCTGATCATTGTACTCGGAATCGGGGTGAAAGAGCCCAGACCCACCTTTTCACGTACCATTGCTGTGGGTTTGTCAATGTCACATTTTTCATCACCAAAAAAAAACACCTCCTACTGGGCGACTTGCAGGCGGAATGATTGGAACTAGCAATGAACATGGCTGCGATGCTGGTCAGATATGTACCATCTCAGCAATCCGTGGCCGATTGTACCAGGTATACAGATTATACCGTATCCCCATGATATGGTTGCTTTTTTAATCGTCATTTGTGGCAGACTTTCCGGCTATGTCTAATGAATTCCCCTAACCTAGTGTGTCCCTACTTATCCCAACAAACATATGTTTTATCGTTTTTTGTTAGCTCATCTGCTGTTTCAATTGGTTGTAGACTCCCTTCATATGGCTTCTCCCCCCCAAAAAAAAAGCCCCCAAAGGCTGTATAGAATGGAATGTGTTTTTTCATGTCCGGATCCCTCTTCCTCTTGTAGAGACGGCTTGCTTTGAAGGGGATGAGACTTGTACGGCTTTGTCTGAACATACTCCGAACCGTTAAAGTCGACCAATTTAACAGAATTGTGTCAAATCTCATTGGGACGCCGTTGGATCAGGAAGTCAAATAAGTTGACCAAAAGCAAGGTCAACCCCAATGGGACGCCGACGTACGACAAACTAGTTTCACAATTTCCATCTATTTTTGCCATTGACATTGCCACCAAATGCTGTAATTATACCCAATGCTGTTCATTTACCCAAGTCTGACACAGCACTCTTGTGGAATTCTGGAGCACAGCCGTATGGCCTCTAACCAGCTCCCTGAAAAAACACTTCCATTGCTGTTGCAATTGACGGGTCTTGGTTCCGACAAGTTAGAAAATTGCGCAAACTTTGAATCATCCACCCATATTAGAATTAATTCTTAGAATGCGTACTGAAGGTTGGGGGTTTGATGAGAAAACCCCATGAATCCGTATTACCTTGGCAACAAACGAGATTTTCACCTGACGTGTACCTCAGAAAATCCTCACGAATTCTTGTTCTGCCCCGGTTCAAATCTGCATCCCAGGTACTGGGTATTGGATGTACCATGATGTACCCCAGACTTGGACCAAAAAAAATTGGCTGGTCTAAATTGGGTACCCCCAAAAAATTGATTTTCCAAGGCCAAGCCAAAAAAGTGATCCCCTGAAATTTTGATCCATCCCCTGTCATCAAGCACTTCTCAAGTGGACCCCCGGCCCCAGCACCGATCCACGACGTCGCGTAAGGCGTCCAGCGGCCCACCGTCTTTTCGAAGCCGCTGCCGAAGTAGTGTCCGTGGACTTGAGCTAAACGATCCAACGACACGCCTCCAGGACTGAAGTGACAATGGGAGGAGGTTTTTGACACCAGATGGCTATACTTGATGGCTATACTGGGGATGTATTATGGGGTACATATATGTACATATACCACCTTGGTATATGTGGAATGTCTCTGAAACTGGGACCCCAAGGGAAGAACCCCATTCGACTTCATCGCGGAGCCCCAGCCGCAGGTAGCCCAAGCCGCACCTGCCACTCCTGCAGGGTAGAGTTCCTTGGATTTCCATCATTGAGGTTTGGGCGATATGAGACACTGACAATAGTATACTGCAGGGAATCCTAATAGGTAAATCAATGACTAGGTAAATCAACTATATATGGGGTATTTTCAATAGCTATGATAAATTACCAGAGGGTATCCTATTCCTATACTTACTGGTGCGTTTTACGCAGGGAATGGATGGGACTGGGGGTTGCTGGGATTATTATTGATAGTTAGCCAGTGGATCATGCCCTCATTCCCTGCGTTTAGCACCAGTAATTATATGACAATAATTATATGAATGATGTACAGAACCATGGCTAATATATTCTAATATCCTGTAACACCCAAAAAGATACTTTTTAAGTAGAAAAATCACCTCTTGTTCAGAGGGAATGTGCCTTTTATATCCTTTTGAGGGTTGCTATCATGTACAACGGCATCCCGACAATCATTGCGATGGGATCATACACATTGGACTGGTTGACTACATAACCAGGACCATAACCCACAAAAGATCCGAAGATGGCAAACACTAAAGGATTCCACCACCAAAAGTGGGACTTCAGCAGATTTAGGTCACCAAAAGACTAGGAAAGGGAAATGACCATCAAAAAATTGCATATTTTTGGAGGATGCCTTTACCTGAATGTCATGGAGATGAGCATATTACCAGTGGCTCAAATGTTATGGATAGCCCACAGTGTCCTCAGGATGATTGGTTGCCTGCTCGGGGTTTTATTTTCTTACCATTTCCTGTGGGGTATCCATATGTCTGGAACTTGTTGCTGGGATTTGCATTGTTGTTGACCACCGCTCCATCTGTATATATCATATGATCAATACACACTAACAGCTGTTTGTTGCAAAAACCTGGCAAAGAGACCAACATGGTCATTCATCACTATTGAATAGTGCATCAACAAACAATACCATGATATTACTATATAATATACAAAATATATTATTTATTATTGCTGCTGCTCTTATTTGTTTACTAATGTTCGTGTCATGGTTATTATTGGTGTTAGTGTTATGGTTGTTACCATCATCATTGTTGCTATTAGTATCGCCAGTATTGCCAGTATTAACACTATTGTCCTTGTTGTTGTTCCAGTATTGTTGCTAGTCGCAAAACAGCATATCCCAAGTCGCCAAATCATTGCCAATCTGCCAGATACCCTGCAAAAAATGGAGCAGATTCTTTGCTGGTGAACGTAGATATCCCCATTACTACCAAAAGACTAGTTAGGATTAAAGACCATTAAATGGTGAACGTAGATATTCCCATTTGCTGTTGGGATTTTTTAATTATTCCCATGATCTAATATTACCATTAATAGATATTCCCATTAATACCCATGTAAGATTCACCTAGAAATGGACACTTGTGCCCCTTTGGTCACTGGTAGAAGGGCGAAGATTCGCTTGGGAAGTTTTTCGGCTATTCCCCCTGCAGCGAAACGGAACGTCCTACCGAAATATCCTCGTAACTGCTTAGTAAAGCCAATTTGGTTTCATATGGGGGATATATACCAATGTTTGGAGATATAAAGGGATATATTATATATTATATATATACGTATATAATCGTATATATACTATATATATATATACAAGGGGGTATATAATGGAAACTTAAATAGATAATAATAGATATGATGATGACTACATTACTCAAATCCTCTGTTTGCTCCTGAAATCCAAAGGTATCCCCACTTCTGTTCGTTCGGCATATTTTCTGAAGTTTTTTGCCCAGAAGCCCTGGGGGAATCCTCCATATTTCTCTGGGGTAAATTTCAAATTGCACCATGGAATTTAAGTGGAACATGATTCCATGTCTTTATTTTCTTGTTGCTGATTAATTTATGTTTTTACTTGCTTGATATGCCTTTTTGGTTTTTATTCTTGAAAATATCCCCTCTTGGACGGCATCTGGCATATCTCTATTTCTTGATTCATACGCATGTCGTATCTCCCCAGATCTCCCCATTTGGTGGTCTGACATCCCCAGATCTGTTGATGCTTCAGTCGCCAGTTTATCCACTTTGGGATGTTACCAAAAAACCATCATAAACCACCCTGTCTGTGGGGTAAAAAAATGATGTTGACCCATAGAGTTTCACAAAAACTGCTTGAGAAATCTGCCCAAAAAAATTGATATTGGCCAATAGCGGCGCCGCTTTTGGTGCTTCAAATCGAATTTTTGGGTGATCAAATGACAATTCTTGTGGCTGAATGCGCAATCTAAATAGTGAAATGATGGAACATGTTCACTTTACAATGAATGAATTCCAAAAAAAATGCCTGGTGCATCTCCCAAATTGACCTCATTCTGCAAGAAAAGGGCCTTTTAACGCTTTTAATCAGTAGAATTCAGTAGAATCCACAATCCAAACATCAATTTCAACTGGCAGTTTTTTTTTCAGTTTTCCCCATGTTTTCCAGAAATGTTGGTCCATGATTTCCCCATCTTCACCTTTCCGTTGCAGGCGGCCATGATCTCGAAGAGCTCCACGGTGTTGGCGGCCGCCGCCTCGTGGCCTTCGATGAACTCCGGATGCTCCGTGCCCAGGACCTTCGTTGCAAACCCATGGGGAAAAGCCGAGAAGTTACGGTTGGTGGTGCCCCAATGACTCGATAGCGTTCAGTTGGGGTTCACATAACTCTAATTTCACGTTTGGACTTGTGGTAGATATATCGAACTAGTTATAGTTATTATTATTATTATTATGATTATTATTATTATATAATATATATATATATACATCTACTGGTTGGTGGTATACCGCATACCTCTGCAAAAATATGAGTTCGTCAATGGGAAGGATGACATCCCATATATGAAACGGAAAATAAAAACCATGTTTGACACCACCAATTTTTTTGACCCTGGAAGTCCACCTCAAAAAAACGTCCTGGACTAAAATCCTCATGAAAAAGTACGGCCTTAGGACTTTTTGGGTGATTTGTTGATTAGAAGAATCTTTAGAATTGATGCAGTTCGTGGAATCTCAGGGATTCATGAAAGTGATGAACCCAAGAGATGGGGATTCATTGGACTTTGGCGTAGCTGCGTAGCTGCAGCTATTCGACCCATAAAAAGCTGGGGACGGCAAAAAAGGCTGCGTGTTTTCTTCTCGGGTAACCAGTGTTTCTTGCAAATGTTGCTTGGGAATGTGTTTTTTGCGGAGGTTGCGGGCAGTGTTTCATGCTACGGTTGGAGGTTTTTTTGCAACGGTAGGCAGTATTTTTGCCACGGCAACGGTGTTTTCTGCGACGGCAACGGTGTTTTCAACGACGGTACGTGGTTTGCTGTACGGGCTGTGGGTGGGAGGGGTTGTGGCAGTCCTGTTGCTTCTGCCGCGGTGTTTTCGGTGTTTTGTGCATGAGTTGAAGGGGTTAAACTGCTGGTGCTAGTGGTGGTACTGCTGCCGCTGACTGACTGCAGACTCCTTTTTATACCTTCAGACATCTTTAAACCACCTCTATTACACTTACCACCTTTGCTGTCCCTACGAATACTACGTCGGTTACCTGAACAACCTCCACTGATGCTACCTGCACGTCCTGTTTCCTACTACCCATTACAGTATACGGGCACGAGCACAGAGAGGAAGACAAACACGACGACGATGACAATTCCCAACCAACAGAAGCGGTAACAAAACATGAGCCAGAACAAGAGCAAGAGCAAGAACAGGACACAAGGAAAAATCAAAAACAACAGCAGCAGCAACAACACCAACAACACCAACAACACCACCACCACGACCACCACCACCACCACCAACAACAACAACAGCAACAGCAACAGCAACAACAGCAACAACAGCAACAACAGCAGCAACAGCAGCAACAGCAGCAACAGCAGCAACAGCAGCAACAGCGCAGCAACAGCGCAGCAACAGCAGCAACCGCAACAACGGCAACACCGGCAACAGCGGCAACAACGGCAACACCGGCAACAACGGCAACAACAGCAACAACCACCACCACAACCACCACCACAACCACCACCACAACCACCACCACAACCACCAACAACAACAACAACAACCACAACCACAACCACAACCATAACCACAACCACAACCACAACCACAGCAACTACTACAACAACAACAACAACGACGACGACAACAACGACAACAACAACGACAACAACACCAGCAGCAACAACAACAACCACAACCACGACCACAACCACAACCGCAACCAACAACCAACCACAACAACAACCACAACAACAACAACAACAGCAACAACAACAACAACAGCAACAACAACAACAGCAACAACAACAACAGCAGCAACAACAACCACCAACCACTAACCGCCAACCACCAACCACCAACTGCCAAATGCCAACCGCCAGCCGCAATGACTGCCAACCGCCAACGGCTAACTGCCAACCGCCGACTTCTAACCGCCAACCGCCGAACGCCAACCACGAATCACCCACCACCAACACCACCACCACCAGCAACAACAACAACAACAGCAACAACAGCAACAGCAACAGCAACTTCTTCTACTACAACTACAACAACTACAGCTCATCATTATCATCATTCTCTCCATGCAAGACCTGCAGCAACCCTCGCTGAGTCTCCCTATCGCCATGCACCTCCTCCTGAAGCGCAAGGTAGGAAAGCTGATGCAAGCTAGCAGTGGTGCTGGAAGTCATAGGGTAGTCAGTAGGTAGTACGTCCGAAGTAGTGGGTGTATAGTGTGCAGTGCGTAGCAGGTCATTCCTAATGTTCTTCCTGTTGTTGCGGTTACGCGATGTTTCTGATGCGGTTTGATCGCCAGGCATATTTTTTCAGAAATGAGCCCCGCCGGAAAACCCGGCGTGGTGAGACCAATAAAAGGGAAGACGGATACTAAAAACATGTTTCCAAAAACTGCAACAGAACCCACAGAGAAAACCAAAACACCAGATTCCCAGTATCAGTTTGAAACTTCATAATTGAAGGCTGCCCAAAATTGTGGCCACCATCTTCGCTTTGGCGTTGATCCTTGTTGGCGGAGCATCCTTCCCATAGCGCGGCCGTTTGCCAATCCCACGCTTTGGTACTACCTACTACTGGCTACCTCCACCACCACTGCTAGCTTGCATCAGCTCTCGTGCCTTGCGCTTGTGGGAGAGGCGCTGCGCCCACCCGCCCCCTCCAGCATCAGTGCCCTCCCCGAACCCCTTCCCGCCGCTCCCGCCAAACTAATTCCATCCTGCTCGGCCACATCAAAACAAGCAGCCCACGGCGGAAACGGTCAGCACAACCAACAAGCAACGGCAGCAACAACGGGAACGGCAGGAAGAACCTACCACCTACTACCTATATATGTATATACTAGCTACTACCCACCACCACTGCTAGCAGCCAACCATTGCAAAAAAAAACCTACAACCGTTGCAAGAAAACACCAGCCAAAACTGTAAACACCGGCAACCGTTGCAGGAAACACCGGGGAACTGTTGCAACAGCAACACCCCGCCGTTGCAAGAAACACCGCCGTTGCAAAAAACACCAGTCACCCGTAAGAATGTGGATTGATATATATATATATATATATACAGTATATGTAGCCCCACAAAATGGTGGTCAAACAACCAGATTTGGGATCCAACTAACTGCACTGGGAAACACTTATGGCTTCTGTCAAATCTCCAAACAAGAAAAGGTCGACGCCGTCAAGCCCACAACAGTCTACACATTTGTATCTTTCGACCTACCAGTTGTAGATGGTTGATGCAACCGCTATCAAATCGAGTCTGAAGCAGATTGCTGGGCTCCTCGTGCCCCAAACAGTAGTTCAGGGTATTGAACCATTTCAAGTGATGTTTGATCCCTCCAACAAGGAAATCTCTGATTCTTCCGATCACAATCCCCCCCCTTCTCTGCAGCAAAGAGCCATGGCGTTGGCAGTGGTGCAGTCCTGTGCGTCCAACATGTTTTCCATTTCTCATGGTGATATCTACAGGAAACCATGGTTTTCAGCATCAAATATCTTAGGATTTCTTGCAGATGTTCGCTTAAACCAACCAAGAGTTAACCAAGTCTGGGATAGATGGTTTTGTCCGGAACTTGGTATACCCCTTAAATGACATTTTTTTGAATGGGGAATATGATGATAAACCGTGTTTTTTTTGAGGTATCAAATTTTCAGACAAATCCAAATGGGTATGGGTCAAAAACCTGTTAGCCCGGTTTTCACATCTGAATCATATCCACCCAGTATGTTCAGGTTCACTAGAAGCAAGTCATTGACTTCGGAAATGAACAGAAGCATCTTCCAGAAATACCGCATATTCCGTCCAAAAGGTTGAGATTGGTTCCTGAGATTGGTGCAGCACCAATTCCTAGGAGTCATATCAGGCATATCATTGCAGGGGTCTCCAATGACTTCATCCCCAAATTTCTGCATGGGCCCAGAAATTGGGTGAGTACATACCCCAATCATCCCCAATCTATGGCCGTTGGTATGTTTTTTTAATAACTTTCTGGACAAACAACCACATGACCTCAGAAAACAGAATTCGGAAAGACCCAAAAAAAAGTCCTTGATGCGGAAGTTTTGCCAGACCAACTGCTGTCTTCTTTCTCCGTCATCCTTAGCCCATGGAAAGGTGTCTGCAGCTGCTGGGGCTTGGGTATCATCCACAAGGTCCTGGAAGCGAGGAATCAACGTTAGGTTTTTGCATACTAAGCAACTCCCCCTAAAAAAAACAAGTTGGTAACATTTGATTCTGAAATAGATGTGCAATATGTTCTATCTTTTAAAGTACGAAAAGTGGTTGCTTTGGTGGAGCTGCAGCAGCTGGGGGATGATCCCAGTGCCAAGGTGCAGTGCCACTGTCGCCCGCCAGGCGATTCAGTGGCATCAGGACTTCACCCGCCAGCTCTCGCCGGAGGCTCGCAATCTCCTGCTTCTTGTTCCTCAAAAAGGTGCAAGAAAAACGGGAGATACGGATGGGGAAATGAATGGAAACCCATGGGAAAGCTGACCCCCATGATTTTTGGGGATGGGGAGATACTAAGTTGATTCACCTGAATTTTGCTGGCGTGTCACATCGCAGCTTTTGGAAATGTGTTTGGAATTCACCCCTGGATATCCCTGGGATCGCACTGTGGTGGATTTCTAATGCCTGGGTGTTGGTGAACCTCGAGTGGTGTCTCCCAGTTTCAGGCCCAGTTTTCACCCTGCCTTGCCATTGCATCCGCGGCAATGGTTCATAGGTCTAAGCTTGATCCATCAGCAGAAACGATCTGAAAGGTGCAGATCTTGGAATCTTGGTCGCAAATAAGCCGCGTATACTACGCCTGTTTGGTTCAAGGGATTGAAAGACCCAAAATCAACGGGCTTTCGCTGTTGGACCACCAGCGATTCTCCTGCGATAAAGTCTGCTCTAAGCTACATCTAAACTAGATGTTCTCCGGCCCAACTGGGAAGCGTAATGATTGGAACACTTCTAACTACCAACTTGTAGGCCCCGCAACTATCGCCGTTTGGTCGCACGCATTTTGGCACACCTCGTTGTCGCTAAGCTGAGCCCCGGAAGTTCCGTTGGCCCCGAAGCTGGTTAGCAATGTCACCATGGTTGTTTCAATCCTAAAACGGTCCACGACTTGGATGATTTGGGGGTACCCCCATGACTTGACGGACACATCCATATTGATCTATGCGGCTCAAACTCCAGCCTTTCAGTTTGACCCACATCCGTAGATGTTTATCCACCCCGGTTGACTACCACGGTGCACATCATGGAGGTACCATCTTCAATTGGATTTGCTGTTTAAAAAAATGGAACGAAAAACTTGGGACATAGACATGGGTTTGTCTGAAAATAGTGTACCCCTACACCCAATGGTATCCAATGGTTAATGATCATTATCCCTACTAAATGGCTATAATTGGGGGTATACCCCAGGAAGTTTCCCTGAAATGTCGGAACTTCGAGGCTCAGCAACGACGGTGAAACCGTCCAGCGCCACGTTTGGCTGTCCGGATCAGCTGTACTCATCCCCGAAGCACGAGCTCCAAACATCCTGCGGCCGAAGCCGAACTCCGGGAGGACTGGAAGATGTGGAGCCGAAAAAAAGTCGCAGTTTTGATGGTGGAAACATGTGGAAACCTGGATGTGAAATATTCTGGGAACCACCATCACAATGTTTTTCTCCAAAAATTGGCGACCCCATGGCTACCCCAAAATCCAATTTCTTGATCATCCTATGAAATTGGCAGGACTAGATCCCCCAGCAAGTCACCACAACCACACCCAAATCCCCGTGGCTGGAAAACCTCGTCCCCAAGAGATCTTGACCGCCATAGCATGTCAGTCCAGGACTTAGTTTAACCATGATTTTAGAATTCCATTTCGGTTAGCTATGTAATGTCCATCTAAATATAAATCCCATAACTTGGAAACATTTAGAAGAATCTTGGGCAGGCATACATTGGAAATGCCAAAATAAATACATATATATATATATTGTCATGTTTTTGTCATTTTGTTTGTCATGTTGAAAGGCTTCATTTTGATTGTCATCTTTTTGAAATTGCTGTGTGATTTTGTTGTTTTTTTCATTTAGGGAAAAATTTGTCAAAATGTTCGAAACTTGAATAAAACAAGAAAAGTGTTGACACTTAGGGAAAATATTGTTGTTTTAATCATTTGTCGTGACTTTTCACTGCGGTTCCTCAATTTTTGACAAAATAGCTCCGCAAATGACAAAAAAGACAATGTTCCGAGAAAAAATGATGTTTGACCATCCCAAAACAAATGGAGGAAAAAAAAAACGACAAGCAAAAAATGACAAGGGAAATGAATTGAAAAAAAAGGACAAAACAAACGACAAAGAAATGACAACAACAATGACAGCTGAAAAAGAAAGGCAACGAAAATCACAACTATGATCAACTATGTGTATACATATTATATACATATACTAATATCATCTATATAATATCCACATTTGACCCACATCCAATGGCTGAAGAAAAAAAAACGATTCATCAATCCCCATGTTGTATGGTGGGAGTCCATAACCCTTGGGGTCTTAAACTGCCTCTGGTGTTTACCTCTAATTATTCAACATAGCTATGGAAGCCATGGGCCATAGAGTTCTAGATAATAAAAAAAAATGATTTACATAGTGATAAAATTGTGATTCTATGTGATTTTCCATAGCAATGCCAACTACAAGAGGGTGCATCTAATTATCCATGATTCATCTATTCGTGTTGATTATATTTCCATTATCAACCCGTATTCACCATTCTTACACCTTCATCCCCACCTATTTTCGTGGTTCAATCCCATTATATAAATCCCTTAATTTTGTTGATTACATCCGATTCTTGGGTTTTTAAACTCACATTTCCCCATGTTTTTCACCTATTTTCCCGTATTCCTACGGTTTTCCCATGGTTTCTCCATAGTTTCCTATGTTTTCCCATGGTTTTTCCATGATATTTTCCCATGGTTTCCCATCATTTCCCATGTTTCTTTCATATTTTCCCATGGTTTTCCCATGGTTTTCTTGGTGAAGGTCCACCTTCCCCCAGCCCGCTGTCCACGCACAAATTGTTGGGCACCGGTGGCGGCGCTTCATCCACACGAATCAGGTCGCGGGGGTCCACCAAGGCCCACTGAAGCAACGATCTCAAGATGGGAATGATCCAAATGATCATCGAGAAACCATGGTTTAGTAGGGAATTCCCCCATTTACTGGGAATATTCCATGGGATTCTTCGTGAGGATAGCTAAGAGAACTTACTGCTGGTTTAGTAGGGAATTTCCACAGGGGGGAACCATTGTCTTACTGCTGCTTAGTAGGGAATGGATGGGAATGGGGGAATGGGATTATTATTACCAGTAAATTGTTAGGGAAATTCCACAGTGATACTGGAAAAAACAATCTAATTTTCCTGGAAAAAATCTAAGACCCAATTTCCACATCATTGGGACCACTTATGGGGTGTTTGATATTGACCATTAAACATACACCCTCTGGTTATTTAACGTAGCCATGGAAAAACACCATTATATATATATAGGTAAATCATCATTGTTATCATCCATAATTGGGCCATGGGCCATATTTATGTTAAATAACCAGAGGGTAATATGTGTTTGATAAAACGCTCCAACTTTCCATGTTAACTATCCTAAGGGACTGTTGCTATATTAAAACCTATGGGGAATCAACAGCCGTTCATCAGCTATATGGAGAAATATGTGACCTAATGGACAGCGCCCAACGTGAAACAAGATGTGAAAATCTTGGGAAAATGATGAGAAAAATTATGATGGGAAAATTATGGAAATGATCTGACTGTGGGGAGTTTCCATGGGGGAGGACCCAATAGCTGGATGGTTTATCATGGCAAAAGCAATGAAAATTGACAATTTAGGGGTACCATGGGGTACCCCCATTTTCGTAAACCCCCATATGGGAATGATCATTGGAAGAATATTTGCGGGAAAATATACGTAGAAAATCTCGAGCCATAGGAGCCACAATCTGAGAATGTGGCTATACATGCCCAAGCAAAGAACCAAGCCCATATGATCAACTGTTAGAACCAAGCCCATCAGGTACCCAATTTTGCATGATTTTGCCGTGGTCAAAGTATTAGGGACCCAAACTGCTGAATGCACCAACGAGATTAATTATACAATATTCTATACTTGCTTCATCCTCTCCAAATTTGGATGGTTTTCCAATGTTTTCCACCCCCATTTCTTCCTTTTTCTACATCATTGGCCGCCGCCATCGCAACGCCGGGATCCCCGACAGGATCAAACAATCGAGGTCCGCGCGACGCGCACAAGGTGGGCTCCTGCAACGAACAGAAGAATTGTCCACCGGAAAGAAAGGCGAGTTCAGCGGCACTGAAATGGTGATTTCATGAGGATTTCACCGTTTGAACTACCAAAATTCGGGTTTCATCAGCCAAATGGAGATTGAGTACCACCAAAAACATTGGAAATTAAGCCCGAAGGATTGGAAACTGAGCCAGGGGTGATAGATTTAAGAAAGCAAAATAGGAATTCAATAAGCCAAACTATAGTGTATTTAAGTATGATCGGTGCTCAAGCCAGACTGAATCTTTTTACGGGATCCAACCCTCGAAACAGGAGGGGTTAAAGTTGACTCGTCCTTGGCATTTTCAAGGGTCCCTTGTATATGAAAAAATACGACTAGCGTCTGGTATATTAGTTTGGTATCTTCAACGGAAAGATTACTTTACAAACAATAATAATACGAATAATCGCAGGAACAACAATAATTAATAGTATTGCGCGAGGTGTAAGGATAATGTCCTTATGTCTTATCAACCAAGAAACTATCCTTCTGTTGATATTATCCCAAAGAATCCTGGGATTCCAAACCACAACCAATCATAGTGTCACTTGGCTTCATCGGTGATCGCCAATATTTCTCAAAGGTTATGATATGTTATTATGAACCAACCCCCGAACCAATCATATCGATCATCAACCAACCATCATTTTTGATATCCCCATAAGTTTGATGGTTGTGAAAAACACCTTGAAACTCCCATGGCTGCCATAATTCATGGTCAGGTGAACCACCCATGAAGCAACTGGGCTTTTTTGAAACGCCGGTGCTTCGTTTCTCCTCCGCAATGTTCTCCAGATTCCGTCGAAACTCCTTCGTGGTCCTCAGCGCTGACCCAAGGGGTTCCCCTTCAGATGGGAACCAGCAACACCAGAAAAATGTACCCTCTGGTAAACTAACGTAACTATGGAAAATCCAGCCGTTTTTAATGGGTAAATCCACTATTTCGACTGGGCCATTTTCAATAGTTATGTTAAATTACCAGAGGGTAAACGTGCCAATCAATTGGGGATCATTGGATTACATATCCCAGAAATTCGAATAGAAAAATGACGAAATCTTTCACAGCACCTAACTTACCCGAGACAAATCCGAAGCAACGAATCACTTCGGAAAGAAACATGGCGCAAAACTGATCCCTCCACTTGCCTTGAAAATCCGAAAATCAATGCCGACATCTCAGTAAATCATCCATGGTTTCCCATGGTTTTCCTATTTCAGTCATCAGCTTCAACGACTCGCACTCAGCAGTTTCGCCTCTTGGTTGCAATCAGAAAGACGTGGTAGACCTGGCACGTTGGGTCACCATTTTGGGAATCTCTGCCACATCACTTGTAGATCTAGGGACTTACCCCAATTCTACCGGTCATTTGTAACAGTTTGCTATACCGGCCATCATAGTGGATGTTCCCATTAAAAATGGCTGGAGTTTCCAGTTCGTGATGTGAAAAATTACCAGATGGTACCCCAATTATAACATATTATAACCATTATCAACCACTATCTCCTATTATTAACCATTGTCAACCACTATTAATCACTATCAACATCTATAATCAGGCTCACAACCTTGGTACCTAAACAATGTCCCCAAAAATTCAGCCGAAAATCCACCATGTTTTCCACCAGTGTCAGGTCAGAATCCTCGGCCCAATCCGTGGCGCACCCATAGGACGAAGGAAAGGAGCGTCGCGATCCCCACCAGGGCCCCCAACCTGGGACATGTCGGACTTTGGACAGCGTTTTAACACGCAGCCAGATTTGGATGGAAAAAACTGATCAGATTGGGAAAAACATCCCATAAAACAATGGGAAAAACCATCCCATTTTTGATGCCAAGATCATCCCATAAAACCATGGGAAAATCATGGGGAAATCCACCATTTTTGATGGTGAAGCGCCGCCTTGAAGGGTCAAGCCACTCACCCTGACCCGTTGCTTGAAGCTGCCGCAGCCATCCAAAAAGGCGTTCCGTGACACGAGTTGAACTCTATGAACATGGGATATATACGTATATATATATATATAACTATATATATTATATATATACTTATATATATATTATACATATTATCCATTGTATATATATAATTATATATATATGGATGGTGCTTGACCATCTAATATCATCTAATATCCATTGAGTATATCCCCATCATTTCCGACATGGCAATTGCTTGGCTATTGGGAACCCCCCAGTCGTAGTGGATTCCCTATTGGGAAAATGAATCAATCATCGACTCAGCAAACCCAAAACAAGTAGTCTAATTTGCGCATCAAAAACCTTCATTTATAGTAGAAGTTCCAATTTTTTTTCCTATACCTTCTGGTAAACGTTGACAAAACTATGGAAAATCACCATTTGAAAAATTTTAATGGGTAAATCAACTATGTCTATGGCCATGTTCAATAGTTCCTTTCACAAATTACCAGAGAATTCTTCCCCAACAGATTTTGCATAAAGGTCGTCGTCCTGAAACGCCGCCAGGGGGGCGCGATGAGTGCGTAGAAGACCGGCTGCAAGGCACCACTGCTCACGTGGATCATGCCATCCACCGCTAACTGTGGAACGGGATGGCTGGATCTGTGGTGATCTGTTGTGGGGATAGGTAGCCCTGGCAGCTGGTCTATGGAAAATCCAGCTGTAAATGGATGATGATTTGGGGGTAGCCCTATTTTTAGGAAACCTCTAATTTTGATGATGGGACCTTGAATGAAACTCGAAATTGATGTAAGTAAAGTGGTCAAGCCTCCCTACAGGACCTGGGAAAAATGTTGGATTATAATCCGCTTACGAATCAATTGATGATACGGGTTAGAAGATTCTCCAGAGAATGTTGGACTGGTTCAACCCACAATATTGGCTTAAATGGTTCATATTTGTTCACCAATCTTTGGTGATCATGATGATGAATAATAGATATCAAACATCAGTTAATGATGGGACATGGTGTAAGTAAAGTGGTCAAAACTCCCACAAACGGGTGTGTTGATTTTTGTTTACATTTTTTAATTTCAAGGTTCGTTGAAGTGGGTTGTTCCAGCAGTACCAGAGGACACAGGCTTCAAAGTTTGGGAACAAATCCGGCTTGGATCTGCACAGCCATTTTCGACAGCCCCTGATCAAAGACTTGATGAAATGTATTGGATCTATTCATTCTATTCATATTATTGCAGGCTCCCTTTCTATGGGAGCAAAATCCCACCCTTTCTATGGTTCCAGTCATATGTGGTGTCATACCCTACAACAACGGGTGAATCTGGGGGGGTTAAAACCCAAACGGGCGGAGGGATTAGTTATCATTCGTGGCAAGTAGTGCAACTGGGATGGATTTAGTCCAAGTATATCAAGTATCAGCTCCCGAGATCAAACGAAGAGCCTCGAAATTCTCGCTGTTCAGAAACCAGAACCTGATCTCCATCTTCCGTTCGAAAGATGTACCGAAATCTGGACGAACAAAGCCATCGGTTGTTCGGTTCCACTTAAAAGGTTTCAATTGTGACAAGGCAAGTTACTGTAGTTATGTTCAAAGAAATGGCTAACCTATGCTAACCTGCTAACCTCAGTAACTCGCGATGGTACATCGAAGCCACGAAGTGGATTGGCCATTTAACCATCCCATCTTGGGGTTGGCTAGTCCCATTTCAGGTCTCCTATGGATGGAAGGCCATCAAAAAACACGGAAAATAATGCTTCAAACTTCAAACCATCAAATGTTAGGAATTCACCATATCTAGCATCAAAATCGTTACTGTTCCTAATTTCCTACCATTTTTGTTCTTTTGCAGAGCCAAAAAAAACTCCAAGGTTGCTCCCAAACACTTGGTCAGGACTCAGAAAGCCAAGCTGCAGCACAGGCAGCACCATCATCGCCAAACATAAGACCTGAGATGCCCAGTTTCACATGGGGAGTTCCCAAAAAAAGTGTGTGTTTCCTTTATAAATGGTACCCCCCAGTTTGAAAACTAGGGATAAATTAATCCGGGGTTGATATTACGAACCTCGCACTGAAAGAGGCCTCAAATGAGGACTAAATGAGAATTAACTGAGAATTTAGTGGGGATTGCTAAAATTGGGAAAAATTGTGGGAACGCTAAAAAATCGCACAGATCGTCATCATTTTTTACCGCCTAAGAACGGCCTTTCTTATGGGATTTGCATTGAACGACGAGACTGAACGGGAGATTTCCCATGTTCCAAAGATGTTGTATGACTCAAATGAATTGTTGATGTTCTTCATACCATGTACTTCAAAACAATGAGAATAAACATGGTGTTCTTCTTACCAAATTGTCGAAGTGTTTAAAATTTAGGCCCATCCAATATCATTTGGGGTCAGCCGGCAGCCTTGAAATCAAGGTGACCATTGCAGATCTCCATAGAATGATCCGACACAATAAAAATGGATGGTTCCCATAAACTCGACTGGTCACCTTGGATCACCTTGGTGTGTGGCCCCTACAAAAATCAGCAACCATCAAATGTCCCAATTCTTGGAATTCATAGTTGCTGCAGGCGAGAGTGTGAGCACCAATATCTGGGTAAAAGTAGAAATCCTGGTACCCTAGTGAACCCCTGCTCCGGGAAATGGATGTCTATTCCCCTAAAAATCAATGGAAACATTGAATGGCGTTGATCCATCCCATATCGCTTTTGAAACCAAGTGGTCAACCCATATCCTTTTCTCAGGCGACCGATGTGACGAAGCCAAAGAAAAAGTGATAGTTGCGCTGGCCAACACCTGGGGCAGCACCAAAGCGCTCTAAAAGCTGGCAGCTCGATGCTTCTTTTGTGGGTCAGAAATGCCAAAATGTTACCCCAGGAATCATAAACCTCCTGTTTATTGGGGGTACCACGTCTAGTTTTGTCGTAAGGGTTTGTGAATCCACATTTGACATCATGGCCATTTCGGAGGACATGAGGTGTTACAGTAAATGACTTAATCTTGCGGTATCCTAATTCTTGAACCCTTGGGTCAACATTTAACCAACAGATGGTCTGATTTTCACCACCCTGTCCGACTTCTGAGCTGGAGGCAGTTGTTGACGAAGGGACAATGATGATCGTACCTGAGGATGAGATGTGTCTTCCAAGGCTTGTAAAAGGGGCGGTCAAATCACCGAAAGTCACATCCAATCCACAGGGATGGTAGATGATGGTAGATGTATTATCCCGGCCGTAATACTCCGAATATTCAAAACATATCCTAAATTCTTCAGCAGAAAATTCCAAGTAAGTCAGGTTGTCCAAAATTATCCTATCCAGCACAAATATTGAAATTGTCCTGTTTTCCAGCTGGCCATGCATAGAATAACTCCCAAGTCGTCTTCCCCAACAGATTTTGGCACCGCATCACGCAGTTGTCACAGTCCGGGCAATGGGAGGAGCGTGGGGGCCTCCAGGCTTGTTTCCAGTGCAACTGGTGAGGCTACTCACATAACAAAGCCCACCAGTATTGGGAAATACCCTCTGGTAAGTTAATATAGCTAAGTAAAATCACCACTTACTTGATAGGTTCGGTAAATCACGGAACTAAATGGATTATTTTCCTTAGCTATGTCAAAAATACCAAAGGGTACAGTAGGAAATATGATACTGGATAATTGGGAAGGTAACAAGGTACATACTGTAGATTTCACATAATGGGAATTATGATCGGGTAACCCCCCCAAAAAAAAAGATGAATAAAAACCCATGGAATCCTCCTCACATCAAAATAGCTGGGATTTAATGAAACAGATCTTCATCCACAATGTGAAGTCTCAGCTTTTGACACATCAAGAAATGGCTCGAAAAACCAACGGGGCCCACAAATCGGTCGACCTTTCCGAATTGGGTCTCCACAAACTGAGCCTACCGGGTTCTTCAAAGAGCCTACAGCCATCCACAGACAACCGCATAGATACAACCAGATTACCCTCGGCAACCCCCAACTTCAATGTTGTGCTTGGAAGTGCCCAATACCATGAACAGAAATGGCTGTTTTTTTTGAAGGCCGCCAAACACATAATTCAGAGTACAACATTGAATTGGGGGACGGGGGCGACAAGACGTCTATGGTCTTCTACTTCATAGGATGGCTGTTTTTTTTGAAGAACCCGGGATCCTTACAACTACTTAAAATATCTTAAAATCATGTCAAATCCATATATCATAGACATTTATAGACTCTCAATGATGGTTAAACCATCACCCAACGCTGGAAAATCGCCGCGTACCACGACCTGATGATTCTGCACGTCCGGCACCAGCGATACCCACGACCTGGCAACGGAAGGTCGTTTCCGGGAGAAATTCCGGGAGAAATCGTAGCGGCAAAGAGAGTGGGAAGTTGAGAAACGGAACATTGGAACATTTACCCTCTGGTAAACTAACATAACTATGGGGAATCATCATTTTCAATGGGTAAATCCACTATAAATGGCCATTTTCAATGCCTATGTTAAATTACCAGAGGGTAGAACTACACTAACTACACCATTTTTTTATGGTGATTGTTTAGAAAATTGCATGTAAGATCATGTAAGCTGAAAGAAAAAGGGGATTCTAAGCTGGACTTGCCCAACCGAAAAAGAGAAGAAAGTGAGTTTGATGGGGATTCCAAGGAAACTCAAGCATCTAAAATGAAAATATTACACACCCTGACCTCAGGGTCATGACCAGTACATTTGGACTATGACTATGACATGCTGCGACCACAACCCAGTGCCTAAGTCTCACATGTTGCACGCCTAGGGAAAAATTAGCCGTCTACAGCATGTATTCGAAATTTTCCATACGACTTGGAATCAAGTGTGGACTCCTATACAGGAAACTGGAGTCGCAATCCCCTAGTGAGGCCCTAGTGTCTTTCTGATCCCACTTCCAATGCGGGCGCACTGGTCAACTCTACTGGCAGCTTTCCTCCTCCGCCCCTGCGACAAGAACAATCATTGAAGCAAGGTCAGCCAGTGAAAAACCCTATGACAGACCGGGAAGAATCCATGACTGGGCATGACAATGAAATGATATGAAATGATTGGATGGCTGAAACTGTGTCTGTGTTTTCTTTCCTTTTTCTCAAATAGAAACAGCTGCTGGTCTGAATTTCCCCGGGGAAAATCTCCCCGCCTGCCATCCAAGGGAACAGAGTCCATACAAAGCAAATCCTCAGCTCATGAAGCTGCCCAGCAAGCCTTGATGGGGTTGCGCTTCATTGGTTAAGCCCGATCATTCGTAAGAAATTACCTCAATCATTGGTTACCTCGATCATTGGGTATAACCCCAGTCAATTCGGCAGGATGAGTAGGGTTGGTTACTTAGGGTATTGTTGGAAGTGTTGGAGTTAATATATGTGTGTGTGGGGTCAATGCAGTAATATTCAGTATAGTATATCACCCCAGTGAATTCAGTAAAAAATCACTGGGGTTTGCCAACTTCAGTAGCTCCAGTGACCATTGGTTAAAATCATTGGAGGATGTTTATTCGATGAGATTCACTGCAGGTTTCCCATGGTTTCCCACGTTTTTTATCCGTTACCCTCTTGTAAACGTTTACAAAAAGCTATTGAACATGGCCATAGAAATAGTTGATTTACCCATGAAAAATTTGGTGATGGGAAATCTGGCAACCCCAAAATAGATACAGTGGGTTAATGTAACAAATGACCAAAAACTACGCCAGTTCCTTCGATGTTGATTATCATAAAGTTGATGATGATTACATGTTAAGTCACCATACTGATAACAGGAAGCTAAAGAATGTCACCATACTGATTATACAATACTGGCTTTATATTCTGATTATTATATGTTATGTCATAGAAATGTTTATATGTCACCACACTGGCTTATTCTGATGGACATAAAGTTGATGGTAATTCTATGTTATGCTGATGATAAACCTATGACTATATGTTATGTTGATTATAAACCTATGAATATATGTTATATATGTTGATTATAAACCTATGGTTATTGATGTAATGTTGATGGTGATTATCATAAACCTATGGTTAAGTCACCATACTGAGACGCAGCGAAACATGAGTCCAAGGTACATAGCCCAGCTGCTCCTGCAGCTGCTTGGCCGTCTTCGTGGCAATCACCACCTCCGGAACACATCGGAGGCTCTTAGTCGGGAGAAAAACCATGGGAAAACCATGGGAAAACCATGGGAAAACCTACACTTTCTTCGTTCTTTCATGTTTTTTTAATACTACAGATGAGTATCAATGAACTAGTCTCAATTGTTTGAAATGTGAACTATATTGCATGGATTTTGGCGAACGTGTTTTGAGTCCAGCCATTTCGAGCTAGTTTCTCAACTGTGGGTAGGTCAACTAACCCATTGAAAAATTGAAATGATTGCCTGATGAAAACTACTGAGAAACTCCAAAAACAACTTGCCGAGATTCCCATCATCCCATTCTTTCCCCATATTTCCCCATAGCCTTTCCCGAAACTTTCCCTTACTCTCTGGCAATTTTACAGAGCCTATGGAAGATCACCATTCTTAAGAGGTAAATCAATCACATCACCTATAAATGAAATATCTGTCCATAGTCCATAGGTATGTAACAAATTGCCAGAGCGTATTCCAAGTACAGTATCCATGATTCATCCATTCTTGCTGGTGATGTTTTTCCATTCTCAACCATTTTTAACCATCAATTCCCATGTTTTCCCATATTTCCTATCGTTTTCCCATCGTTTTCCATCATTAAACCTTTCCACTTTCCACCACCCCCTTCCGGCGTTTTTCACGCGCACGCCTCGCGTCTGGGGATGATGCCCGGATCGGAGCAGCAGGTGGCCAAAAGGAAGCCGGTGGCCATCACGAATACCTCCGCGCGCTCTCGACGACAGCTGGGATGGGATGGCCAGCTGTCGAAAGGTGGAAATACCATGGGAAAAGCATGGGAAATACCAAGGTGAGTACCACTTAAAATGATGGTCATTTTGTACGAAATCTCTTTTCTGAAAAGGGGCGAACATGCCAATGTGGGTCAATGGCGAGTCTAGGATGCATTGGGAAAATGTTAGGCAAACTGTTTCTTCTCAGGACTGAATGGCCCCAGGCAACGACCGGTCCGTCGGCCAAGATTGCAGCGAATGCGCCATCTGTGGCCTGAATGCGGTGCACATTCCTAAGCTGATCTTCAACTGCCAAGCAGTCACCACCCAAGCTTGGACGGCCCCAGGTAACAACGGATCCATCGGCCAAAATTGCGGCAAATGCGGAACTTGTGGCCTGAATGTGGCGCACATTCCTGAGCTGACCTTGAACCGAGGAGCAGTCACCACCTAGTCTGCATCGCCCCAGGTAACTACTGATCCATCAGCCAAGATCGCGACAATTGCCAAAATTGTGGCCTGAATTTGTTTGACATTCCTCAGCTGATCTTGGACTGCCGAGCAGTCGCCACCATGCTCTGGATCACCCAAGCAACCACGGATCCATCGGCCAAGATCAGCAATTGCGCTCACGTCTGAGCTCATCCTGAACTGCAGAGCAGTCACCCTTGATGTCCCAGTCTGGATCGTCTGGATTGCCCGAGGCAACGGCTGATCCATCTGCCAAGATCGCTGCAAATGCGCCACTTGTGGCCTGAATTTGCAAGACATTCTTGAGCTGATCTTGAACCAAGGAGCAGTCAGCACCATACTCTGGATTTCCCCAGGTAAGTATCTTGCTTCCTCCACAGCACCAAAGTGCAAAAGCCTGGGTTGATGCACTTATGTTTACTTGTTGTGCCGCAGCAGTTAGGTGGTCTCCTTCTCGTACCTCTGCTGCTTGCAAAGAGTCCTCAAGGTTGGTCAGGACATGTCCGCCCAAATTGAGACACTTTGGAGTGCTCAGGTATTGACAGAGTTTCACTAGAACCACTCAGGAACGATATGTGTACTTGAAGCATTCCGCAACTCGGATAAAAGCAGCATCAATATCGAATATTTTCAACATGTGTCATTGCATACGGCATTTGGGCCATATGCGCCACAGCATACAGTGTGAGACCTTGAAAGTGACATGTTGGTGTGACCTCGGGCTGACATAAACAGGCCGCTCAAAGCAGCAAAGCGCCCTAGAAAAACCAAGGAAAATGATGATTCAATGGGATTTCAAGCAACAAACATGGTGATCTAATGGGATGTAATGGGACTGGGATATACATATGTATATACCAGGATCTTCGAAAGGACGCAAAAAAAACTTCGTTTGCAAGATTTCTGCCCTTATGGCGGATTTCTTGCGAAGGAGTTGGAAATGGTCATGTTTTTTGCCTACTGTGGTCAATTTTGTATTTCGCACCTTTTGGGCTGATCTTGCTCTACTTTGCGTAAAAATGTGACGATTTTTCTGGACGGAAATTCCCGGGAAAAGGGCGGAAATACGCGGGAAAAGGGCGGAAATACCCGGGCAGACTCAGCATGGCTGAAACATGAAAACATGAAGTGGTCAGTTTTTTCTTGACATGGTCATTTTTATTTTGAAATTGACAAATTTTTAAAAACATGGTCAGAAATCTAACAAAAATCTGCCCTGGACAAAAATTTGTAACCAATGATTATCCAAGTATATATATTATATATGTATACTTGTAATCTATATACTCCGAGGGTACATGCCGGTGAAGCTTGCTTTACCACTTATTTGAGGCTCCGGTTTTGGGGCCTTGGGCCCACCTAGGCTTTGAAAAAAAACGCCCCCAATGCTCCAATAAAAAAACAAACCAAGTCATGAGGTGCGAATCACAATGGCTTGGACATGAAGCTACTAAGCATATCGCGAAAAACTACTACAGCACGAGATGCATATTACAATGGTTTGGACGCAAAACTATAAAGGAGTTCATGAAAAACTACTGAGCGTGAGTGCTCGGGCGCAAAGCCACTAAGAATGACCCTCAAAATTGAAGAAAAGAAGATACTAGTTCTTTTATTCTTTGGAGCGTTTTCTTACTAGTTTTGCGGCCGAGCCAATACTAATTGCGAAATCGTCCTTAGTAGCTCTTGAACGCGTTCTTAGTAGCTTTGCGGCAATACGAAATGCAACACCGTGCTTAGTAGCTTTTGAGCACATTCTTGGTAGTTTTGGGGCCAAGCCAATACAAATTGCTAATTTAAAGCTGCTTCTGCGTGATGTATGTGGATATGGGCACGCAAACATGGCCCCGCTCCCCAGGAATCAACGTTGCCACTCACAAAAGCCAGTCTTGCTGCCTTTCCTGGCGTAGCTGCTTTGCAGGGTGCGGAAGTAAGTCAACTTTGATGTCTGGGGGTGCCGGGGGTTGCGCCCAGGGTCCTGTACACTGCCGCTGGCTGTACACATGTCTTTGCATTGCTTGTGGCAGTCAAAGTTCAACCTCGCATGCTTGCTGCAGAACAGCAAGGGCATCCCTGCACCTTCTGAAACGTTCCTTTGGCTTGCGCTGCGACGCGGGCCCATTTTTGGGGCTGTGGGCCTGCATGTTTTTTGCCTTCCTTCACTGCGTACCCTGCATGTACGTATAATATATATATACACATGAAGGAAGATGAGATTCTTGGTGTGTGTGTGTGTGTCTGAAAATGTGGGATCCCCATCAAATTGCAATTTCAAGGGATGATTATAAACCAGTGAATTTACGGGCACCTTATTTCCAGACAAACCCGCAACTTGAGAAATGACAACCATGCTGTGTACTACCCAAAATTGCAGAAATCATCTGCCTGTAATCCAACATGGGCCTTTGTACTTGCCTTGTTAATTAAAAAATATGTTTCCAATGCAGAAAACATTGGAATTGACATCGTGACGGACCATATACTTGAGATCTACCAGGCATAAGACATGACACCGCAATCCAACCTGGGATGTTTTCATGGTGGTGTGTCAAGTAAGAACCAAGAAAAGAACACACCACGAGCCAAGCTTCCACATACACCACAACAAGACCGAAAACAAATCACTTTGTCTCAACAAAAACTTGTGTATCAAGAAAAAAAATATGTGGGTTTCAAATCTCATTGTTTCCCCCTTAAAAAATGCTACTTTGATTTGTGGCTACATCCCAAACACCACCAGCCCCCCCGGCGGCACTGCCAGGGTGGCCAAGGGCAAGGTATAGCAACCTTCTTTCCAGAGATGCGGAAAGACCTTGGAGATGCCCAATGCGGGGGTAAAGTCTGATTCCAAAGTTGTGTCTATTTGAACCTTTGATTTTTTTTCCGGTAGTGGCATGTGTCATCTATGGATGGCGGTCACCATATGTATGTATGTATGTATGTATGTATGTATGTATGTATGTATGTATGTATGGATGTATGGATGGATGGATGGATGGATGGATGGATGGATGTATGTATGTATGTATGTATGTATATATATATATGTTCTTTGGGAAGTTACTACAAATTCATCTAAAATGAAAAAACATGTCTATACAGTATACATACGTGTGTGTATGTATATATGCATATATATATATTTATGTATTATACCGATACCTATTATATTATATACAAACCAGAAGAAACTCCCAAAAAAAAAACGAACAAAAAAAATGCTCTGCTTGAATGATGGATGATATAATTGATCTATACCTTCCAAATTATGTTCTTGCAAAATCCGCTGGTTTTCATTCGTTTTTGTTCGTTTGGTTGTTTTGCATCCCTCATCTGCTCAGTTTTCATCGCCCCCCTTTGGCTTCCAAAAATCTGCTCAAACCACCTGAAAACATTCGGAAAGGGTCCAAGAACCAAAAGCCATGATCGATCTCGGTAACGCCATATCGACCTCTCACATCTATCACCTTTCCTTACGACAGAACTTGCCTATTAAGTCTAAAAAACAACAACACCCTGCTCTGCTTTATTTTGGTGCCAGGCCCAAATGAAGTACAGCGAGCAGGGAGCCAAGATGCAGGTCCAAACCTTCGGGCAGCAGAGATTGGTTGGTTGTACCATATCGAGGGGGTCTGAAAAGTAGAGTATCCCCCGATTATCCCAGCAAAAACTGCAATCCTTACGGGGAAAAAGGGATGATAAACAATGATAAACCATCAAATTTGGCGGTCTCTCTCTCTCTCTCTCTCTGAAAACAAGCAAAAATGGCAAAATTTGGCCAGGCTTGGATTCTGCTCTGAGCACAGCATTTTACCAAGACATCATCCCAGAACTGGGTCGACTCCGGGGGAGACTTGAAAACACCCCGAAATCCAGTGGCTGAGAATGATGTTCCCATGAAAATTGCCTGTTTTATGGCCAATTCCCGCAAGAAGCCGGGCGTTTAAAGCCACTTGAAGAATGACCAAGTATCGATCCTCGCAACTGGTCCTGAGGTACTGACGCAAAGGTTCGGAACTGAACAGTTGGGAGTGATTCCCATTTCTGTCTCACCGCCTAGCGCGACTCAGCGAAGCTGAAATGGCACAGAAAGAAATGCAAACTGGAGCAGAAATACTGAGTCCTGGATCAGCTTTGGAAAATCAAAAATGCACAGGTGGACAATGGTGGATAGATCCTGTGCATTCATCTCACTCCCCTTTTCCCTCAGTTGAGAATCTAGACACCATCCCGTTCAAACTTCGGACTGTCCCCCGCCTGTCATCATGGTGCCTTTGCAGAAAAATTTGTTCCGGGAGGGCCAAACCTGAATCGAGTCGCCACCGGGAGCCGAATCCCTCTAACTTGCGGTCCTTAAATCTATTGTTCGAGAGCTACCCAGCCACTGATTTTCGGGATCCAGACTGTGATTCAAGTGCTGCAAACACTGAAAACAGGGCCACAGACATTGTAGAGCCTTTTCTTTGGACGTTCCACCTGCGGCATCACGGGATCAACAATGGGCCCCAGTTAGTTAGTCCATGCTTTCTGGCTTTGCTGGTAGATAAGCCTGGATGCGGATATTCATGACACATGTATACCTATTTATATCTATTTAATTCTAAATACATGTAATACATTTAATTAATAATTTGTTCATATTTATTGACATTATACATATTGTGAAACCACTGCCATTTCCCAGTGTGCATCCTCCTCTCAGCCTTCACATGTTCACCTCGTGAGCTAAGCAGGTGGGTGGGATAGGCTTGCAGCCATTCTTTGGCTGATCCCTTGCTGTCCATCAGTGTGGAGGAAAAGATCAGCAGCTGGGCAGCTTGGTGGAGACTTGGAAGCTCAGGGAGCTGCGTGGTTGGGCCGCTACCAATTCCAAAACATATTATATATAATCATACATATATATATATAATATATATATATAATATATGTGTATATATATATATATATACGTATATATAATATGTATGTAGCGGCCTATCACTATAAAATTCAAAGTCTAACCGACTCTGTTGTGGTTGCAGGCTTCGGAGCAGAGAAGTGTTGGATTGGCAAACCTGTCAAGTTCTTCAAGAGATATTCACAACTTTGAACTTTCAACTGGGAAGAAACATGATCTCGAAGGTTTGGCCGCACAACAAAAGTGGCCATGGAGATTACTTGATGAATTTGCTGCAGTCTTTCAGGCTTTTTGAAGAAAGGAATTTACGTAGCATAGAAATGCATAGAATCAGAATACCACAAGCTACTTGCAAGACCATCGCATAACCCTGGCTGAGAAAGTGTCCAAAGTGTTTCAGTGTCAGGCTCCAAGCTACCAAAAGCAGGTGCTGTTCTGAGTCTGATATGGATAGGCACCGCCTAGGCACCTATACGATGTATGCATTGCGGAAAGTCTGATGTGGTCAAAACAGTCAAAACCGTCACCTGGAAGCAACCAATCCATTTGCCAAGGCCTTTCTTCAATCAGGTTCCTTGAAAAAATACTCAACCAACCCATCAACCCATCAACCCCACCAGCCAATCATCTTACCAAAACATCAGCTCATAGAAAATAAAATACCCTCTGGTAAACTAACATAACTATGGAAAATCACCATTTTTAATGGGAAAACTCACGAAATCAATGGCCATGTTCAATAGCTATGTTAGTCATTACCAGAGGGTAATGTCTTCCCACTTCTTGACAGATTCTCCTCAAATTTGGGTTTTTTAAAAAAATCGTCCCAAAATCCACCCAGGCCATCGGCGCAATCGCCTGCACCTGGGGTGGTTCATCAGCTCCTGTCAATGGCTGCATCTCCAGATCGACTTCTCTGGCACCTGGCGCCGCAAATTTTCAGCCCAACAAAAAGTGAGGCTGGAGGAAACCAAAGATATGCAAAAAAAATGCAAATGCAAAAACGCAATGCAAAACAAATAGAAATCAAAAATACTAAATATATTGTAAGATACTGTAAGTTCAAAAACGCAAATGCCGAAAATTCTTTTGGACACCCGCTTGATTCAGATTTAGGGGGGCGTGCAGGATTTGCAGTCTCGGTTGCCTGGCTTTCATGCATTCTGGTTCTTGAATTTGTCTCACATGCAATATGTGCAAGAATGAGTTTCAGTTCGGTTTGGGGGTTTCTGTCCCTGCATCAACACTTGAATCGGCACATAGATTTTCAGGAAAGGGTTGGTGGTTGGCACAGCCCCCCAGCCCAAGTCCCAGACGCTGCTTTTCGGGAAAGTGGGGGCCCATTTCCCAGGGGATGACCCTACCGAGGGCCCATGTGTTTTGCTTTTTCTTTGCATTTGTTTTGTTTTTTTTTTGCTTTTCTGTTGTTTTTTTTTGCTTTTTTGCTTTTCTTTTGCTTTTCTTTTGCTTTTTTTTTGCTTTTTACCTCAGCTTTTTGCGATTTCTTTCAAAAAGTATCCAGTTTTAGAGGTCCCCAATTCGGATCGGGGACCTTCCCTTTCGGCTGGCCACCTGTCCACTTGGCAGGCGTGAGCCTCGACATTGCGCGTTCTTCGGCTTCACGGGTTCACCTCGGACCTCCCTTTTCAAGTTTAATGTTTCCTTTGTCTTCTGCGCAGGTTTTACTACCTTGTCCAGGTTAATTTGGTGTTTCAATGTGTGCTGCATTTGGCATTTTCCCTTTTCCCTGGTTGCATTTCATCTGTCTATATTCTCTACATATCACGTCGCATCCTTCCAACTTGCATTGGTTCCTTCCATGTGTTCTTCATTTGTCAAATGTGCCCCTTTCCAAGTTGCATTTGCTCTTTCTATGTTTCATCCATTTGCAATTTTTGCCTCTTTTCAACTTGCATTTTGCTTTCCCATTTTTTCTGCAATTGTCATGTGTGCCTCTTTCAGATTTGCATTTTCCAATTCCATTGTTTGCATTGTTTCTCCGTTTTTTTTCAAGATGTAAACATCCTAGAACAAGCGCAATTCGACAGCACAAACGTACAGACACCGTGTAAGTTACAGCAGTTGCCTCCAGATCTCCTTTTCGACACATTTCGACACATCCCCAGCTGCGCCTTCGTTGCTTTTGCCCAGCACCGACGGTGCCGCGGACGATGCGGAGCGACTGGCTTTGGCTCCTCGTGGAACTGGCTTACTGGGATTCAGGTTTTGTTGCAGTCCAAAGATGGGGAACGCCCTAAAAAAAAGAAGAAAACGTCAATTTTTCCACCACTAAACTAGCCATCCCGAATTTCCGGGAAACCTACGGGGCGCCTTTTTAAGATTCTAAAGCATGAAGTAGACAAAGCCAGGATGCACTTGAGTGTCCTGGCTAGCCGGGAAATCCCTATCTTAGTGGAAAATTGCTGGATGATGTGGGCATCCACGGAGCCAGGGTGGTGCCCACAATCCCAACAGAAATGTCCAGGGATATCAAGACAAGGGACAGCAACTGGGTCGGGCACCCTTCGAAAATACCCCAAATACCAACAATGAATCTTCATCTCAGGATCCCCGGATTTGGGAGGATAGTGGGTCTCAACATCCACATTTGTTGAGATTGTTTAATCGCAGAAAATGGGGATTTCATCACGATGAACGAGGCGATCAGCAGGCAACTCATGGTAGCAACTGTCCAGCTTTAGAGGTGTCCCGCGGTGTCCCGTGAATCTCAGATTTCCCGTGAGCACAGGGTAGCTGATAAGTGGCTCCAACCTGGTGAACCAACTCAGTGGATTATCCCAAGTTCATAATTCAAACCCAGGCTACCACGTGTCTCACGTGTCTCAAATTCAGACACGTCAACTACATCAACTACATCACCTATCATGCAGCTGAGGAATGAAATCTTTTCAGCAAGTGTCGCGACATGTCAGAAACCAACCCATCACTGCTTTGGGGCCGATGATTGTGGTTGTGGTTGGCCGTGATGAAAGCTTTCCTTCAGCTGCGTTATGTCGCACTAACCTAGGATCAATAGACTCCTCATTGCCTAACACTGAAGAGTCACAAATCAAAATCTGCCCTGTGGAATTCAACCATGCATGAAATCCAATGTGAATATCGTATCGTTGAATCAATTTTCAATATATTTCCGAAAAAATAAAAGGATATCCCTCACCAATCACCACCCAGCACCAACGCTCCTTGCTTAGGACTAAACTCATGTTCAGGTCCTCGGATGGTCATGTCTTAGGGGTACAGCACGGTACAGCCCCAACACCAAGTAGTTGATTTGCTTCCATAAACCCCTTCTCCCCAGGAAACAAAACATGGAAACCTCACCATGAATCCGCATGAATTCACCCATGTCCTTGTTATTTCGGGGCAAAATCCACGGATTTTTGGCCCAAAATCCACCAGCGTTCTGCTCTTACTGCATCTGAGGCACCAAAAGAAAAGTCAGCATGCTCTTCATCCTGGCAGGAATGAGTAAATCTCTGGGAAGGACCTGTTTCCACAGACTTCTTGGATGTCAAATGAAAAATGTTTGAAGAAAAAGTTATTTTAAACCATTAATGCTTATTAACTGTTTGATTAATGCTTATTACTGTGACGATCTCATGTGGATTCTCCCGTCTCTTCCAAGGCCTCAATCGACTCAAAGCCCGGATGCTGCGCCTCCCGGGGTCAGGACGGTCAGGTCCAAAACAATCCATTCGAACAATGTTCATCAACAGAATCAAATGCTGATTCCCTTTGGAATGATTGTCCTTATAAGTTGTCCTGGATAATGAATTCATGATCAATCCCAAACCCACACAAAGCCAATTGAAGGCTGCTTTCCCATGGTTCCCCCATGGTTTATCAATGGGACACTATCCAGAACACTTACGAAGAACGTAGAAAAATTGAAACAACATCTGGCATGGGAAAAAAAAAACATGGTTTGCTAGGGGCCCTGAAAGTGAAGACCCAGTTCGAGCACAGGTTTCGCATTGTGATTCTTATTGGGCGCCCAACCCTCGGACCTTTTGAGACACCGACAAGCCTCTTTGCCATTGTCGCGGCTGCTGGAAGCCATTTAAGCGCCGGGCGTGTTGGGGGGTCAAGAGAGGTGATTTTTTTTCTCATAAATGTTGGTGGATCAAACAACTGCAACTGCTTCAGAACTGCAAGCAGCACGTTGGATTGATGAAAAATAACAAAACTGCTATTTGCTGAGAGAAATTCGTCCTGTGAATCATGGGTGTGCCACAAACTCAAAACAGAGATGTTGCTGTCTTTTTGTTTGACAACATCCATGATACACCTTTTTACCCAACGCGGCAGACATGCATCATGTTGGACAACCCAGGCATCCGAAGTGGGAGATCATATCTGCTGGCAACTGAGAAAGTTCAACCATTATGGATCAGTATAGAACCACTATAAAACTAGCACAATAGAAGCAACCTATAGGTCGTTTACCCCCTTTTTTGCCACCTCCAAGACTTGGTTCAAACGTTTTCCTTTTTGGTTCTCGGGCTTCACCTTGTTTTGGAATTGTTGATTCTTCGAGAAGCCTTAAACCATTGGCTGGGTTGCATCATCTCATTTGCCTCACATTGCGGCCAAGCTGCTGTACTTTGTTTGGTCCAGCTTACGATCATCAGTTGGGATGGCAATTCCATGAACTGCTTTAGCCCTAGTCACCAATGGATGACTGCTTTAGCCCTCGATTTTTCGCACTCTCCTCTTTCATCCTCTTTCTACGCTCTGATCGCCGATCGTTCACCGTGATTCACAGTGGGTCTGAGCTTGCCTCTGGCAGCGGATCGCAGCAACCCAAGGCATCCGAAGTCAAAGATCATATCTGCTGAGAAAGGTCAACCATTGTGGATCATTATAAAACCATTATAAAACCATTAAAAGCTGGCATTATAAACTTTAGTTATAAACCGATCCATGATCCAACCACTGGCAAGGTCTTGTCGAGCCGAACCAGTGCTCGATTGTGTGGTAAGTCTTTACTGGTGGTTCTCTTCTCAGGATCGACCACAGGGCTATTCATCAGGGACTAAGATCAAAAGTTGTCCTGAGGTGTGGCCAGAAAACTGAAACGTACTGTGATGCTTGAGATTTGTGTGACGATCACGCGGCCCTGCTTAAGGTTTACTCCCTTGCCGTATCTTCCACCAGCAGTTACTTTCTTTCCATGAAGTAAATGTGTCAATCCTGCACCATCACTGGGCACGGTTACCCTGACATGGGTGCCGGGTGCTGGGGCCATGAGCTCAGATGAAAAAGCGAAGGCGAAGGGTGAGCTTGGCTCGCGCCATAGCAGCACACGGAGGAGCACCAGCCAAAGCTGAAATGCCCCCACTTCACATTAATCGCAGCAACCCAGGCATCCGAAGTGGGAGATCATATCTGCTGGCAACTGAGAAAGGTCAACCATTATGGATCATTATAAAACCATTATAAAACCATTAAAAGCTGGCATTATAAACTTTAGTTATAAACCGATCCATGATCCAACCACTGACAAGGTCTTGTCGAGCCGAACCAGTGCTCGATTGTGTGGTAAGTCTTTACTGGTGGTTCTCTTCTCAGGATCGACCACAGGGCTATTCATCAGGGACTAAGATCAAAAGTTGTCCTGAGGTGTGGCCAGAAAACTGAAACGTACTGTGATGCTTGAGATTTGTGTGACGATCACGCGGCCCTGCTTAAGGTTTACTCCCTTGCCGTATCTTCCACCAGCAGTTACTTTCTTTCCATGAAGTAAATGTGTCAATCCTGCACCATCACTGGGCACGGTTACCTGACATGGGTGCCGGGTGCTGGGGCCATGAGCTCAGATGAAAAAGCGAAGGCGAAGGGTGAGCTTGGCTCGCGCCATAGCAGCACACGGAGGAGCACCAGCCAAAGCTGAAATGCCCCCACTTCACATTAATCGCAGCAACCCAGGCATCCGAAGTGGGAGATCATATCTGCTGGCAACTGAGAAAGGTCAACCATTATGGATCATTATAAAACCATTATAAAACCATTAAAAGCTGGCATTATAAACTTTAGTTATAAACCGATCCATGATCCAACCACTGACAAGGTCTTGTCGAGCCGAACCAGTGCTCGATTGTGTGGTAAGTCTTTACTGGTGGTTCTCTTCTCAGGATCGACCACAGGGCTATTCATCAGGGACTAAGATCAAAAGTTGTCCTGAGGTGTGGCCAGAAAACTGAAACGTACTGTGATGCTTGAGATTTGTGTGACGATCACGCGGCCCTGCTTAAGGTTTACTCCCTTGCCGTATCTTCCACCAGCAGTTACTTTCTTTCCATGAAGTAAATGTGTCAATCCTGCACCATCACTGGGCACGGTTACCCTGACATCAGCCTGGGTGCCGGGGCCATGAGCTCAGATGAAAAAGCGAAGGCGAAGGGTGAGCTTGGCTCGCGCCATAGCAGCACACGGAGGAGCACCAGCCAAAGCTGAAATGCCCCCACTTCACATTAATTACGGGCCTGAAATCCAGCCGCATCAAATCACACTGGTGCCCGGTGGGACAGCAACTTGGGAGGCTGCTCATGAGCCACTGATCATATCACATGATGCTACACACACCTACCACAAGGACATAACTGCAATATCATGTGGGTTCCACATGGCAGCTCAGCATGGTCCCCAGTCATGATTGTAGCAAACGGATGCTCATGCCCTTGCAAGGGTTACAGTAGGAGTCCGTAATGTTGTCGGTACCTCATTTGACAGGCATGCGCGGCTCACTACCAAGCTAGCCCCTGCTGCTTGATTACTTCTTGATTCTATTGGGGACTAAAACGATCTCTACAGAGCCAAACGAGCAGAAGAATAGTCCTATCTTCGCTCACTGCACTCATTACTAGACGTTCGCATACGTGACGATGAACCATCAATCATCAAGTAACCACTATACAATAGATCAACAATGGTACCAAGTACCGATCAGTAATTCATATTAATTAGCGATGATTCACGCAACCAATAAACCGGATATGTCTGCCTGCTTCGAATAGTACCCTCCAACCAATGTTTTTGAAGAAACTTGGACCGTCTCCTTCACTGAATCAGCCCCCAACGGTTTAAAGTTCCCAGCTGCAGATGCATGTCCAGCTGAGAAACCACCAGCCCCTACGTATTGGTTATATAGATGTATTTGTTGTCTCCATCTGCGTGTATATAACGTTTTGATGGTTTTTCTTTTTGGTTTATACAAAACTGGCTATGCTAAAACCACCCGCAGATCTGCCACCGCACTTGAGGCCAGCGGATTGGTTGAAATGCTCGGTGCTTCAGCCATGTCAATCAAATGAAGGTCTGCTGATTTTTGACTCATTTTGATGCAAGATTCATGGATTATCATTGGACAATACCTACCCTCATGAAATATGGATTTCCTAAAGTGATGGCCGAAATCACCAACCAAACTGCGCCCGCAGATGTTGTGAGCTCACCTCAGAAGTTTTCCACCCCCGGGCGACGGTTATCAACCTCTCAGCTTGGCACAGTAGGTCATCTCATAAGCTCAGCATAGCAATCAGTGGCCCCAAGAATCCAGTAACGCATCGAAAACTGATCGTTTTGGACACGCATATAGTTCCTATAAGATGTAAACAGATCCCATATGATATTTGCGTTCCTCCTGACTTGATTTTGGCGGATGCTCTGATTTAAAAAAGTGATTGACCTTACGAGATGATATCAGTAATTGATACGCCGCCGGTTTCCTTATTGGATAGCAACAGCAGAAGTAGTAGTAGCAGTAAAAGTAGTAGTAAAAGAAGAAGAAGAAGTAGTAGTAGTAGCAGCAGTATAGTAGTAGTAAGTAGTAAGTAGTAAGTAGTAAGTAGTAAGTAGTAAGTAGTAAGTAGCAAGTAGCAAGTAGCAAGTAGCAAGTAGCAAGTAGCAAGTAGCAAGTAGCAAGTAGCAAGTAGCAAGTAGCAAGTAGCAAGTAGCAAGTAGGAAGTAGGAAGTAGGAAGTAGGAAGTAGTAAGTAGTAAGTAGTAAGTAGTTGGTAGTTAGTAGTTAGTAGTTAGTAGTTAGTAGGTAGTAGGTAGTAGGTAGTAGGTAGTAGGTAGTAGGTAGTAGGGGGGAGGAGTAGTAGTAGTAGTAGGAGTAGCAGTAGTAGTCGTAGTCGTAGTCGTAGTCGTAGCAGTAGCAGTAGCAGTAGCAGTAGCCGTAGCAGTAGCAGTAGCAGTAGCAGCAGCAGCAGCAGCAGTAGTAGTAGTAGTAGTTGGACCACGGCTTATAGACGGCCGTGTTGGGGTGGGTTTTTTTGGTGTGGGCGGCTGTAGGAGCGCGCGCACGTTGCACTTTTTTGCATTGTTGTTTCTTGGGGGGGGTTGTTTTTTTTTGGGGTGGAGGGGTTTTGGGGGGGGGGTTTTGGGGGGCCGTTCAAGATATTCTCTTGGACTTGCTGCTACGCTATCCACTCTTCTCTTCGACTTTCAATAACGGCTTCATCCACTAAAACAAATAGTTTGGGTGCTTTGCAAAACCACTAAAAAACATGTATTTCCCAATGCAATTACGAGATGAAGCCGCTTTAACCAATGGCACGGCTGCGTGAAAAGTCCAAAATGGACTTGGATGCTCTGACCACTGTAAATCAGCAGAAAAACAAAAGGGACGAATTGATGGTGTGCTGATTTCCTCACGGCGGCGTGTGAGCCGTGTACCTAGTTGTTGTTAGTAGTTATTAGTTAGTAGCAGTAGCAGTAGCAGTAGTAGCAGCAGCAGCAGTAGTAGTGGTAGTAGCGGTAGTAGTGGTAGTAGTGGTAGTAGTGGTAGTAGTAGTAGTAGTAGTAGCAGCAGCAGTAGTAGTAGTAGTAGAAGTAGTAGTAGTAGCAGTAGTAGAAGTAGTAGAAGTAGTAGTAGTAGCAGTTGCAGTAGTAGCAGTAGTAAGCAGTAGTAAGCAGTAGCAGCAGTAGCAGGAGTAATAGTAGTAATAGTAGTAGTAATAGTAGTAGTAGTAGTAGTAGTAGTGGTAGTAGTGGTAGTAGTCGTAGTAGTAGTAGTAGTAGAAGAAGCTGTAGTAGTAAGTAGTAAGTAGTAGAAGCTCTAGTAGTAAGTAGTAAGTAGTAAGTAGTAAGTAGAAAGTAGAAAGTAGTAAGTAGTAAGTAGTAAGAAGAAAGTAGAAAGTAGTAAGTAGTTAGTAGCAAGTAGTAAGTAGTGAGTAGTGAGTAGTGAGTAGTGATTAGTAAGCAGTAAGTAGTAAGTAGTGAGTAGTTAGTAGTGAGTAGTAAGTAGTAAGTAGTGAGTAGTCAGTAGTCAATAGTCAGTAGTCAGTAGTAAGTAGCAAGTAGTACCAAGTAGTACTAAGTAGTACTAAGTAGTACTAAGTAGTACTAAGTAGTACTAAGTAGTACTAAGTAGTACTAAGTAGTACTAAGTAGTACTAAGTAGTACTGAGTAGTACTGAGTAGTACTAAGTAGTACTAAGTAGTACTAAGTAGTACTAAGTAGTACTAAGTAGTACTAAGTAGTACTAAGTAGTACTAAGTAGCAGCAAGTAGCAAGTAGGAAGTAGGAAGTATTTACTGTAGTAGTAAGTAGTTAGTAGTAAGTATATAGTAAGTAGGAAGTAGCAAGTAGCAAGTAGCAAGTAATCTGGGTATTTTTAAAAATGACAGCACGTTCAAAGCATTAGTTAGTGTTTCCCTACGGAAACGAAAATGGAATGGTAGGTTTGGGATACCACACATGTATGTGTAAAAAAGAATATCTACGATTTTTGGCAGTCTTTTGTGTGAGCAATATACCCAGAGATGATACTTACACCCATTTAATACCGAGGCCTTGACATCTCTAACTCCTGGTAGGAACAGTGTCAAGCTGAGTGCAGGGAGCGGAAAGATTCAGAAGATCAAACATCCTCGGTTGGTGCCCTTGCGTGGTTGGTGGTTCCAACAGCCACGTCCAGCCGGTGGCGGCTTGAACAAAAGGTTGACGTGCGAAACCACCAACCACTTTTGTGTCTCGAAAAAGAACCACCCAGCACAACATGTTGCTGGGGCCTGCCAAGCAAGAGTGGAGGATGTCTCACTGACAGAATACACAATGTAGGACGGATCAACTACACCTTGTCAACAGGGAGCGCTACCTGGCAATGGCACAGATGCTTTGGGGGATGTGAAAGCATTGACAGGTTATATGACTACAACCCAAAGAGTGACACTTGAGAGACACATTTTGGCGCAGCCGCCCCAGCGCGGCAGAGCTTAAATCCATGTGCTCATTTGGGCATCATTCTTCTTCACATTCTCCGCTTGCTGCTCCGCCGGCCTCGGCTTGGCGCTTCTGGATCTTCATGCTCACATCAACAATTAGAAAAGCCCCCATCCAAATCCATTGTCCCAGTTTGTTGGCATGCGGCGTTTGAACATTTTTGATGGTGACATTCCCCAACTCAGCTTCTTAACGGCTTACTGCTTGAGGTCCCATGCACACTCAAAGAAGCACAAAAGTTTGAGGCGCCAGGTGAGGAAAGCAACGCAGAAAGGAACACTGATATAGAAAACAAGACGAACCACTTGCAAAGCTGATGGTAAAGACAGTGTCTTCATGACAATGAAGGTGAAAATGACGGTCAAGATGAAGGTGGTGATGATGATGATGATGATGACGATGATGAGGACGAGGATAAGGATAAAGATTAAGATAAGGATGAGGATGGGTGATGATGGATGATGATGATGATGATGATGATGATGATGATGATGATGGTGATGATGGTGATGATGATGATGATGATGATGATGATGATGATGATGATGATGATGATGATGATGATGATGATGATGATGATGATGATGATGATGCAAATGATGATGCAAATGATGATGATGATGATGATGATGATGATGACGATGACGATGACGATGACGATGACGATGATGATGACGATGATGATGACGATGATGAGGAGGAGGATGCCGAAGCCGATGCCGATGACGATGACCATGCTGATGATGATGAGGAGGAGGAGGAGGATGAGGATGAGGATAAAGATTAGGATGAGGATGACGATGAGGATGATAATGATGATGATGATGATGATGATGATGATGATGATGAGGATGAGGATGAGGAGGAGGAGGAGGAGGATGCCGAAGCCGATGCCGATGACGATGACCATGCTGATGATGAGGAGGAGATGATGATGATGATGATGATGACGATGACGATGACGATGACGATGATGATGACGATGATGAGGAGGAGGAGGATGAGGAGGAGGAAAAGGATGTGGATAAAGTTGATGAGGATGACCATGACGATGACCATGAGGGTGACCATGAGGACCGCAACTGGCAACCTGGAGAAATTTTCCTGATAAGTTTGAGTCACACTCATTGGAAAAAATCGTTGACATATGATGTGCGATGGTGACATATCTGCCCCCAAAGTGAGCCGGCGAAAAAAACCTTGAGGACAACATGTGTGTGTATACTCAAAACAGGTAATAAGGGGGAGAAATTCCCCTGTTTCATTGGGTCCTCCCCATGGGGGGTACAACTGCGAGGTAATCACGTGGATGGCGGTTCCTGCCCCACCATCGAAAACTTGCTGAAGCAATATCAACTTCAGCAAGCAGAAGCCAACTCCTCACAAAACTCAGCAAATCTTCCATGAAGCCCGGGCCTTCTATGCTGAGATGCTCCCCAGCTACGGATGGTCAACATCCCGTGGTTGTTGGTGTTAAAGCGTGTCACAACCCTCTCACACGTGGAATTTATACACCACCATTGTAACATCATGTTTTTCATACTGATAATATGAACTGGTGAAGGGCCTGATAATCAAACAGCGCAGGTTTTAGCACATCCCTAACTAACTCGTGTCAAAGCCTTTTGCTATGCCCCTTGAGGGACTCTTATCATCATGCCTTACGATGATGTAGATGTCGAACTTTGCTGAGAACCCCGCGTGGTTTCGACGATTTCGTTGCTCTCGACGGGTTGCTCAGCCTTCTTCGTCTCCCTTGTGAGCCTGGCAAGGCGCCGGCTGAGCCCCCGGCGGCCCCAATCTGCCTTCGCCCGAAAACGTTGCCGATTTCGTGGCCCAAAACGTGTGGCACCCGTGAGATCACTCCGATGGTTTTGGAATCCTGGGAAAACCTTTTTTGAAAATCCTATAAGATCTCCGGAAGGAGGAAAAAGAGGAGGAGCAGGAGGTGCAGCAAAATAAAAGCGATGATGGCGTTTACGGCGATCATGGCAGTTGATGATGTGGATGATGATGATGATGATGATGATGAAGATGATGATGATGATGATGAGGAGGAGGAGGATCAGGATCACGATAAAGATAAAGATAAGGATGAGGATGGGTGATGATGGATGATGATGATGATGATGATGATGATGATGGTGATGATGAAGAAGAAGAAGAAAGGAATATTTTTTGATGGTGATGATGATAAAGATGTTTATGACGATGAAAACGGCAACAGCACTGATGATACTGATGATATTGGTGATACTGATGATGATGTTGAAGATGATGATGATGATGATGATGTTGATGATGTTAATGATGTTCATGATACTGGTGTTACTGGCAATGACGGTGACGACGGTGTTGATAATGATGCTGAGGATTCGATTCTTGATAGTGATGATGATGATGGTGATTCTCTTGATGGTGACAATGATGATGCTGATATTTCTGTTGATGATGATGATGATCATCATCATCATGTTTATTTCTTTTTATGTGGTTAATTTTGTTGATGATGATGCTGATGATTATGTTGTTGATGAAAATGATGATGCTGATGATGATGATGATGACGATGATGATGATGATGATGAGGTTAATGATACTGGTGATTCTGGTAATGACTATGATGTTGATGCTGAGGTTCTGTTCATGATTATGACGATGATGATGATGATGATAATGATGATGATGATGACGACGATGATGATGACGATGATGATGATGATGCTGACGATTCTGTTGATGGTGACGATGATGATGGCGATGATGGTGATGATGATCATGAGAATGATGATGATGATGATCATGAGAATGATGATGATGATGACGATGATGATGATGATGATGATGATGCTGACGATTCTGTTGATGGTGACGATGATGATGGCGATGATGGTGATGATGATCATGAGAATGATGATGATGATGATGATGATGATGATGATGATGATGATGCTGACGATTCTGTTGATGGTGACGATGATGATGGCGATGATGGTGATGATGATCATGAGAATGATGATGATGATGATGATGATGATGATGATGATGATGATGATCCTCATCGAACCCTTGTGTTTTCCAGCTTTGGTAACAGCTTTTCAGCCGCCTCAGGGATTGGGGCTTCCTCTTCAAGGCGGGGTCGAAGGAAGAGGACGCAATGCGCCTCGGAGAGAATAACTTCATGAGCTGGTCAGTCAAGCATAACTACTAGCCACATCCTCCTCATGTGCCATCCAGCACGTCCACAGGATTTCCAACTGACGTACCCAGTCCAATGGGCTTTGGAAAGTACTACAGACAGACCAGCCATTGCATCACTCTTCACGACCAGTTGTTCTACCGAACCAGCACATTTGGTTGCTCAACCAACAATGCTGTCCATTGCAGAGGGATGCCAAACGCCACCCTCCGCCACGCCGAGTTGCTTGTTGAATTTGAAGGATCGTGCATCTTCAAGCGGCGGCGCAACCTGACACCAGGACAGACGCAGATAGCCAGGATTTGCCTCTTGAGGCCGGCCAACTCTTATGGTTCTTGAAGCTTGTGAAACGAAATGCGTTTGCAGCCCGAAAGAACTGCCCACCACCATGCACCTCTGTAGCCAAGAGAGTGACGCAGGTGGTGATCTTCTGGGTGTCGAAGACCGACAAGGCTGCGAGCCTATCAGCCCAGAACTGGAGAGCGTGAAACCATATAACACATGCTTTTTGGTCACCAGTTGACACTCAGTTTCGGAGGAGTTAAGCACCCCAAGGCTTAAATTGTTGTAAAATTGCACTAGCCATCCTGTGAACAAATGATGGGAGACAAATATGAGACAAATGAAGGAGCCAGACATCATCAGGAAGGGAGACTGTGCCTGAGAGACGCATGAATACATATGAAGCAAACAAAGAAAAACACTTGTTGAGATATCGGGAAACACATTATGGAAAAACATACATAAAAAGAAGGAGGCGAAGAGCTGGGAAAGAAATGGAGGGAGACATGAGGGGCGGAAGAGAGACCAAAGAAAGAGCCAGATACCACCTGTGAAACATACACATATAATAAGGGTTGACAGATCCATGATGGGAGATCCGTTGAGAAATGATGGGAAGCAAACTTGGAGAGAGACGGACGCCAGTCGCACAGGAGGAAACACCCTTTGAGGAAGAATTAAAAGCCCGAAGCAGTAAATTGTTTGCGGGATAACTTTAAGATTGCAAAGTTCTTGGCACAAATTCAATCGCAACAACCAAACTCTGTCAGCAAGAGTCTTCGATGCTATGTCCCCTGTCTCGCTCTTCTCCAACACCATCGCCATTTCCTTCAGCATTCCCGAGGAAATTGGGATTGGCAAATGTCTGGCTCTGGATCTTGGCCCTGGCTAAGAAATGGCCGAGTCACACCTCCAAATCAGAAAACGCGCAGGTTGGAGTGGGTTACCCCAAAATAATCACCACCAATTTTGCCAGACATTGCCGGTACGAAAATCCTAGCCATATGGATGCATTGGGTAATCCACATTGCTGTCGAGGGATGACAGTCGTCAAGCAATACAGCCCCAGGTTTGCAGCCACTTTGAAAAATATGCCGTGCCTTTTGCCACTCATCATTGAACCTTTTGCAAACTTGCATTTTGTCTATAGCCTAAAAATGAACTTTTTTCAAGGTTGCCAAAGACCATGGGTTGTTGATTTTGATTGTTACTCAACATAATTTGTCGTCATTTTCCACGCTAACCTTGAATCCTTCATTAGTCAACCAAAAACCATGAAATATCAACCATTGGTCATTGACCTTAATCAACCAGCAATTGACCTTTCCTTGCTCACATATCATGGCCGTGGCTGGTCCTTGACCTTCTTGGAAAGTTCCTCGGGATTCGGAACGCTACCCAGGGTGAACATCTTCAGCTCCTGTGCCCATGACCGGGACCAAGTTGGGCTCGATGGCCGGTCATTGGTTGACAAACTGACGGATTCGTCACCCAACGCAAGGAATCCCTATGGAAAGGAACATACACAATGGCTGTTCATCATTCATCAACCACGAACTTATTCCACAAATGCATATCTGCTCCTTCGGGCTTCTTGTGATCAAGAACCGTACTATTGCTATCAATGTTTGAATATCATGATATTTTTCCTATGATCCATTTTTTACGGAAGCAATACTTCTCCCAGCCAAAGCATTCTGACCCCCTGATCCCCGAGTCGTCCTTCTGTCCGCCCATAGCACTGCGGTAGATGAGCGCACTGACAGTCATACAGACCATGATGCTGATAGCAGCAAAAATTCCACTGAGCATGGCTGTGCTGACTCCACTGGCGAAACCATACATTGCAGAATCCTCAGCCCGTGGTTCTGTGCTTTTCGCGGACTGAATTCAATTCGTGACAGAAAAAACACAAGATGGGGAAGTATGAAATGTCATGTCCACCTATGCTCGCCCATTTGATCAACCTATCAACTTAAATAGCCTTTGCCACAACCTGCAAGCCTGTTTTGAAAGAGAGCGGGCACTGCCTTTACCACTGTCACAGAGGTTTCCAGCAACAATGATCACTAAAGCATATTGCAACAAAATACATCGTTCCTTCAAAAGCAAGGGTTCCGCATCACTGAGGCATCGCTGCTAGAAGGCAGGACCGGCAAAAACATGGACAAATACAAAACATTACAAAACAAAGAATGCGTTAAACCAAACCACTTTACTTTTAGGGCAGTCTTTGTTGGAGAAATGTCGCAGCAAGAGGCCCCAAAAATTGCGAAAGATGCGGTGATAAGATTTCAGCACAAGTTTTCATCGCAGAATTTGTGCAAGACCCCTTGGCACGAACTCTCTTTGATTGTCCAAGAATGCTTTTGAAAGTTTACCCAAAGACTTTTTGAAAAGGAATTGTACAAGGTCGTTGGCAAGATCTCGGTAAACCTTCCGTAAAAAGAGCTGCGCAAGGAACCTTTGCAACAGTCCCTCAGGAGGATTGCACGAGGCTTTCACAAGACCTACGCCAAAGCCTGTTAACCGCAACTTCTCTTGGCGAGATTTGCGCAAAGATTGCTACAACATCTTAGCAAAAGTTGTATGGTGATCTCTGTAACACATATCTTTTGAAGACTGACAGACATCGAGAAGGCCTTTGCAAGATCCCTTCAAGCAACATGCCCCGGGGGTCCCAACCAAATTTTCAAGAGTTTCCTGTAAAACGCTGTTTGCAAGGTCGCTTGGCAAGACCTAAAGACGTGCGGGCACCTTGTTTTTCAGCAAAGTCTCTGTAAGGGCACTCTTAAGACGACTGGCTCAACTTCCCGTAAAAAGATCTTGGCACAGGCTTAGCAAGACCTGTACAAAATCTTTGCAACAATTCAATTTCAAGCTCTCAAGACTTCCACAAAAAATGACAAAGCAGGAATTCAAACCCACTTTTGCACGGGAATTCCTGCAAATTTTAAATCCAGCTCAAAATCGATTTCTCACGCGAAGCCTCCTCCACTTGTGAAACTTGGAGGGACGCTGCGCTATTTAGTTTGCCTGATCCGCGCGCATTGGAGGGATCAGGCATGTGCACTCAGAGCGATTTGCTGAAGGACCCCCCAATCTCGAACTAGAAGAAAGGCGAGATGTCCCGAGGACCATGACGCGCGCTGGATAGGTTCAACAAACGGGCGTGAACGGGGTTTGTGCTTCCAGTCTGGCTTTACGCTCGCAGACTTGCAGGGCTTGTTGGCAATAAGCCTGCACAATAAAAAAAGAAACCAGGTTGTAACTCTGTGCCTGAGCTTGCAAAGGTCTTTGTGATCGCTTTGCCTCTTGCGTTTTCTTCTTCCAATGCCGCGCGGGCAAAGAAGGTGTGGGTGTCTGACGGTAA